TTTTTTTCCCCAAATTGTATTGGGTCATTTCTGTAATGGATGAACAAAAGTATACAATCAGGGAAAATCCAACCAAATAGACCAACTTTGCTCAGAGGCTTCCGGAATAAAACAAAACAGGGGTCTTGAATTTTCTCAGAGTCATTTTGCTAGAGTCTAGCAAGCCTGACGGAACCAAAATACAAGTTTGACTGAAATATAACGAAATTGATCTATGAATTTGTTGAATTGTAAAGAGAAGGCGAGTGAAACCGCGTATTTTGCTGTATCATAATATTTAACGTCTTTTTATTTTCTTTAACTCAGGAAAGTTATACTTGGCATCAAGAGGTAAGAATTTTGATTGTTTCAAACCTGAAAAATCGGGAATAAAGAAATAATATAAACATTCTGTTTATTATATTTTATTCCACCTTCTCATCGCAGTCGGAATCAGAGTTCCGCTAGGTTTGTTTGTTTGTTTTGTTATTTTTTCCCATTTGTGTGGTTTGACAGTCCCTCAGTTTTTCCAGTAAAATCTTATAGCTTCTTTGTTGCCGCCTAAATGATCACTTTACAGACTGAGATAAAATTTCGGTCCAGTTTTGCAGGGAAGGACACCATATGTATATAATTTAGCGCTGGCGTTTGTCGAAATCCTTTAAACTCTTTCAAATTGATTTCTGAACAGTTCTTAGAAAAAACAGCAAAAGTTTTGTGTTAACATTGAAAGAGATGAAACCTCTTTGACGTTGCGAATTAGTCAACAGATGAAAAAGATAGAGCTACCAAGAATTCCATCATAAAGTAGTCTAGAAATTAATGAGGATTATTGAGATTGCTGTAGATCAATCACTCATACAGTTATTGCGTGTGTTTGTTCATACCAACTGCTTTGTTTTTAAGGTGGTGGAAAGAGCCATAAATGTTTTAAAACAAACTGCCCGGGAGGATTTACGAATTGTGATCAGTGTGGAACGTGTAAACAAAAAAACCCCATATGTTGCTGTAAAGAGGGCGGAGGAGGTACGTTTAATCTAATTTCTAAAACTTTATCAGAATGTTGCGTTTGTAGGAATCCTTTAAACTCTTTCAAATTGATTTCTGAACAGTTCTTAGAAAAAACAGTATTATGCAAAAGTTTTGTCGAAAAGGATTCATCTCTTTGAACGTTTATTATTATTATTATTATTATTATTATTAATTTTTTATTTGCATCACTGATTTACATTACTTACATATAAAGCATATAGATACATGATTACATTGCTACTATACAGTAATTACTTAAACAGTCCCGTCCATTATATATATTATATCTATCCTTTTCAAAATCTCACTCAGCCTCGGCTTTATTCTTAAAATATTCTTAAAATTTTCGCAAATTTCAGCCTCGATATTCTTATAAAATATATTCTTATAAAAAAAAAAGGAGTGTATATAATACAGAGTAGCCAAAGTTACTTAAGTAGTTTTTGCATACTCACGCGCACACACACACACGCACACACACGCACCACGCACGATTACTGATTATCGGCCTAGAAACGTCCTGAAAGAGCCTCTAGAGGGTTGGCGCGATTTGCTGTTCTCCGTACATCTCGACAAAGGAAATAAGACTAAAGATCATTTTCCCGGATAAACGCTCCCCATTTTGCATTGAATTTTCTTAATGTCCCAGTTTTAATGGCATAACGTCTTTCATAATCAAGACAATTTAGAATGGTTCGAAACAAGAGTTCCCATGAAGGGTTAAGGCCTTTTTGTTTGGAGAAAGGCCTTTTTGTTTGGAGAAAGGCCTTTTTGTTTGGTCAAAGAGGTTTCATCTCTTTGAATGTTAACACGTTACGAATTCGTCAACAGATGAAAAAGATAGAGCTACCAAGAATTCCATCATAACGTAGTCTAGAAATTAATGAGGATTATTGAGATTGCTGTAGATAAATCACTCAGTTATTGCGTATGTTTGTTATTTCATACCAACTGCTTTGTTTTTAAGATGGCGGAAAGAGCCATAAATGTTTTAAAACAAACTGCCCGGGAGGATTTACGAATTGTGATCAGTGTGGAACTTGTAAAGGAAAAAAACCCATATGTTGCTGCAAAGGGGGCGGAGGAGGTACGTTTAATCTAATTTCTAAAACTTTATCACAATGTTGGGAATCGCTCAAATCTAAATTCGGGCTGGGTAGGCGGGTTTATGAAGTTAAGTGTTTCTTTGGGTGCAGATTCGAAAAAGTACACCTCGTAAGCGAATGTCTTGTAAAAATATGAGGCTCGCCACGTTTCGGCTTTAATTACGATTAACGGCTCCAAATTAAGAACCAGAGATTAACTATTGGACTTCTATTTCGCAATGAAATGCACCTTAGCTACAGCCCTGGCCTGTAAGGGCCAACCCCTGGAGATTATGGGTCTACCACTGAAGAATATGGGTCTACCCCCAAAGAATATGGGTCTACCCCTGGAGAATATGGTCTACCCCCGAAGAATATGGGTCTACCCCTGAAGAATATGGGTCTACCCCTGAAGAATGTGGGTCTACCCCTGAAGAATATGGGTCTACCCCTGAAGAATATGGGTCTACCCCCGAAGAATATGGGTCTACCCTTTTAGAATATGGGTCTACCCCTGAAGAATTTCGTGAAAATTAAAGGTTCACGTCCAAAGAATTCCATGTTCTTAACTCTACCCCTAAAGAAATCCTCAATTTTTTGAAACTTACCCCTGACGAATTCTATTCGTTCTCGACCCGGGGGGGGGGAGGGAAGCGAACACTGTTACACTGATAGACACGTAAAACTCTGGGTAAAAAACAGTGTCAACAGTCAACAGTCTTTACAAGTGTAAATAAACTAAGCAATACAATACGAATTGTATAGCGTTAATTTTAAGGCATTTTAAAAGGGAAAAGTAATCACTTCCCAGCTTCCGGTCGACGTGCTTCTCTCAAAAACGCCTTTGCTGAAGCTCCCTAATATCTGTAATATGTTTCAAAAGATGAAAGTTTTTCGGATCATAGGATTGGCTATAATGACCTGACGAATGACTCGCTAAATGAAAGTTCGTGTAATTATTCGGCGTGGTGTCTCATGTTTGATAGTCAACTATGGCGTAAAGTTGGAAATTTAGCAATTTTCTAATGGCAGGTATATTTTGCACTTTTTAGGCGGCGGCGGTGGTGGCGAAGGAGGTAAGACACTTATTTTCAGCGAAATATTAATAGCCTTGCGTAGGTAGGGGTTTCGTCTGCGTAGCTGCTGGCGATTTCGTTGAGGCGCACTGAAAGATAAAGGCGTGCTTTTAACTAAAGCGTGCGTTTACTATCAGGAGAAAGGGCTTATGGAAGTTCCTTTAATGTAAAATTACACTTGATGTTTCTTTTATGAAGTGGTTTACTGCCTTTGTGGTACCAAACAAAAGTACGTATCTTATTAGCATCAAGGCTGTGGTAACAATCACAACGTGAAATTGGAGGAGGACTAACATTCACAGACAACACGAAAAATACAGCTGTAAAGTAAAACAAAAGGAAAACGTGTCATGAAATACAGTGGAACCCCTTTAATACGGTCACCAATGGGTCAAAAGAAGTTGACCGTATTAACGGGTGGCCGTATATTACCGGGGCAGGGTCAAATTTCATGACTTACGGGCTGTAATGACAAGTAACCATACATTGCATGCGCACTTCTTGAACAACCTGTTCTCTGACTTCTCTTTATACTAATAAAAAACCGGAATGTAGAATCGCGTAAACAAATTGTAAAAACTTCTTGAAACTTTCCTTCAGTACATGAAACACTTTTAAAAATCGGCTATCAAACCGCCACAAATGCATTTTAAGTATACATGGCCCGGTTGTTCGAAAGTTGTTCAAGCTACTTCGCGAAATATGGCAAATTTCCTTGGATTTTCTCAGCTAAAATAGCGATTTATGAGGCGCACAAATTATGTTTTTCCTCTTCAGTCGCCATTTTAGGACGTAACCAAACTAAAAGTATTACTCTGAGGGCGTTGGCCGGGATATCTTAATTTCAAAAAAGTTATTTTTAGAACTATGCGGACCACTCGGAAACAGTTTCCGGTAAACTGGTTGACTTCCGGAAGACTCTTGCCGTGAGTTAGTCGTGGTAAACCCGAGGTTAACTAACCGGTCCTCTAACCGCGCTTCGAACAACGCAATTTTGATCCCGAGTTAACAAACCCTCGGTTAAGAAATTTAAGTTCCGGTTAGGCCTTACCCATGCCCAAGGTTAGTTTAACCCGTCTTTCGAACAACCTGGCCCAGAGTCTAAAAACAACACAAGAGCAGACTTCTGCTTACTCGGTCAATGAAATTCAAATTTCGAATGTGTGGCCGTATTAATGGGGTGAAATTATAAAAGATTCAACTGTTTGGGGTTTTAAAATGTGGCTGTTGGCCGTATTAACGGGTGACCGCATTAACGATTTTTTTTATATAAGGAAATGTATGGCCATTTTGCCGGGCTGAAAAAAGTGGCCGTAATTGCAGCGAGGTGACCGTATCACCGAGGTGGCCGTAAGGCGGGGTTCCACTGTATAGCCAATTCAGGTGGTGAGAACTTTCCACTTAGTTCAAAAAGACATGAAAATAGCCTTTGAAGGAACGTTCAAATAACACAGCAATTAAAACGGATTGTAATTGTTTTTTTTTGTTGTAAACTCACTTGAAGACGCCTTCCCTCCCCCCCAAAAAAGGGGGGACACCAGTTCTCATCATTCCACTGCTAACTTTCCAACTACTGCCGCTGGGTCATTAGTAGTGAAAACGAGGAAAGGAATCTTTTAAAATGTATGTTATAGGGATATAATCGACAAGGATAACCAAAAAAAAAAAAAGGATTAACGGGAAACGTTTGATCGGGATGACTCTCAGTCTTGTAGTATTTCAAGGAGTTAAGTAATTGTTAAGTAATGTTGATGTCGCAGGGTCTTCGGCCGAGCAAGTGGGACTCAAGTGGCATAACTACTACCGAAACATTCATGAGGCTCGCCAAATGAAGCTTAATAGTGGCATGAACGGCGGTGCGATGGGCTTTGCAAAAGAACTTGCCCGATTGGGAGATTTTCCCGGTCATAGACCGCCACCAGGGCAGGGTGAAAACGTTGGTGTGCAATGTCGTAGCGGCAGTGATGCAGATTTAGTAAAGGCAGTTGTCGAGTCATGGTAGGTTGATAATATATAGATTTAGCCAAGACCAAAAGCGAAGCCCCTGTCTTTCTGAAGTGTTTTCTGAGCCTTGAATATCATAACTACAATTGTAGCTTGCGGAGAACTTTAAAAAAAAACGTCACCTCAATGATTTGTATACTTGAGCCCGCGATACAGCCAAGTGACACTGGTCATCGGTTACCCTATTTTGACCGCTGTCAATTGATCATAACATGGACATCTATTATCCAATATCAAGTTAAACACAATTTGTAAATGCCTCGGTTTTTTCAGATAGCAAGACATTTCACAACTGCTTACATGACGGGGCGGACGTACGTACGGACAATTTTGTCGGAACCAAAATTTCTTGAGTGCGTAGATAACCAATAGTTGTTTAGTTGAGTATATTTGCAATCAATGAAACAGACGAAACAAAATTTACATAACAACAACAAAACTATATTTATCCACTGAGTTTGCTTCATTATGGTAAATTAGGCTACGAGTAGTTCTTATCTTCTTAGAGTGAGTGTGAAAAAAAAAAGAGGAAGTACCGGCATGTGAGGTCTGTCCTCGGAGAGTGGATTTCACACATGCTTGCCGCGTTTTTGCGTGATTTTACATGCCATGTCCGCCGTACGACGTCTTTCCAGGCCTTACTCAGTCCATACTTATTGGTGACGTATCCAAAACGAACAATCGGAAACTCGCTTGGATCACGTGACGCGAAACGCATCGGCCGGGCACAACAATGAGGCCTAAATATTAGGCAAGCTCTTTACTACCCATTTGGGAAATATGGAACTACTCTTGCTTAGTCCTTCACAGTAATCTATTCAGTCGTACCCGAGACACAGTGGTCGGAGAACTAGTCGCACGGACCACGTGACCACTTGTAGTCTTCGTTAAGTCCTTCTTCATAAGCAATTACTTTTTCAGGTATAAAGAGGCTTGTGCCTACTTCAAGTGTCCACAATTTTCAGGGGTGACTGGACACTTTACTCAGTTGGTTTGGAAGGAAAGCACAGAGCTTGGTATTGGATTCGCGAGAGGAACATTCAAAGGTTTTAAGGATTGCCTGTGGGTGGTTGGTCGCTACAGGAAAGCTGGGAACGTGATGGGACAACTCTTTCAAAATGTAGTCAAAGGGAGCTTTAATTGTGGAGACGTCTGCCGAAAGTAGCAAGTGGACACTACTTACAGTATTATTAAATAGGCTGATTTAGCAACAGAACGGGAACGTCATTTGACGACTGGAAAGCGCGCAGAAAGGACTTAGTTCGACTTCCAGTGCCCAATTTGCCGCTCTGCCGTTGGTCAACCCATTGGTTCGATTTGCGCACGCAGTCGTCAACAGACGTTCCCGTTCTGTTGCTTAATCAGCCTAAAATATATAGCTATTTCGAGAAAGGTTGTCGGAAAAAGTGCACGCGACAATCCCGTATGGTATTATAGGTGGTTTTGAGTTCGCTGTTTTTCAAAGGAATTTTAAAGAATGGCACGAGAGGCCATGGACAAATGTTTGCGAGCGCTAAAGGAAAGCAACAAAAGTAGGTTCGACAGCTACAGTGTCAGGAATAGTATATTGATCATATCCCATATTACCTTTCGGGATTGTCGCGCGCACATATTTTCCGACAACCTTTCTCAAAATAGCTGTATAGGATTACACGCTCCAGGGGTCCATAACACGCGCGGAGCGAGTAATTTTCATGTACTCATGTCTCGACGCTTTCACGGACCAGTTTAATTTTAGAACGATTTTGGTGCGAAGTTAAGATATGTTCTAAGTCCCTCAAACCAGTTAGAAAATCCGGCAGACCCGAAAATAGTATTTTTGACCTTTAAATAACGTCGAGTTGTTCTTTTTCTTACCTAATATTTCGAATGCGCTCAAGGACGGAGCGGAGCCTCCTTTTTCGCGGGAAAATTGCTTTAAATGTATCTAAAAATAAACCGATCCGTGAAAACGGCGTGACATTATAATAAGAGCAATATGGCAGGTGTTCGCACCGGGTTATGAGCTCCTAACGCCAAAGAAATTTATTTCATTTTATTATTTTGCATTTTTTGCATCATTTTTGGGTCAAAAGTACTTAGAAATTAGAAAATACTAAGCAAGATACTGTTGGATTTAAAGTGGATTTTATCGGAATTAGTCCATATTAGATTAATCAAATAAAGGCATATTTCACCTACAGTGTTTGAGTGAGTTGACATAAAGGCTGCCACGAGTTATACGAAAAAATACATGTTAAAGGAAGTTGTAGGAGAAATATTATTTGCTCTATAAATCAGCAAAATCTGACGGATTTCCCTTTTAACTTACATTTAGCATTTTCTATTCTTGCATATATTTTTGCGTGCTGACTGTGTTTCAAGCCTCGAAAACTGCGAAACGTTGTCAAGTAAAAGGTTTTCTGTTCAAAAGGTTGATTAGATAACAATTTTCCCTGCTCTACACTCTAATGCCTATTGACAGAATTATTAAACTTACATGAGTTGAATTTACTCACGTCTATCATCTCTATTTAATTAATTAATTAAGTCATTTTATTTGCAGTACCAGACTACTAATTAAAAGGGGTATTATGAACCAATTGGCCGAAAAAATAAAATGAAACTTGGAAAGCCCGGCTCCGTAGCCTTCCACACAGCGTTCATGGGGCTTCGTCTCGCGTTCCCTCCTCACGAAACGACCAGCTTGCTCCGCGGACCCCACGAAGAAAGATTCAAACTTGTTACCATATTCCATGGATATGTCCTAAAAAGCCTCCAATTAAACTATACCGTATCAATTAAAATATCATCAAGACAGGAATCAAACTGTCATTTTGTTCTTTAAAATCCGATGTGCAAACGTCGTTCCCAGGCTCCTATCCTACCCGAAGAGAAGAGGATCCTGAGAACGAGGTTGCCCATTATTTGAGATTGGCAAAATCCTAAGGGATCTTGACCAAGTTCTTTACTACCTTTGCAGTTTATTCGAAAAGAAGGCGCATTATTTTTACAAGCATCTCACACTGCATCTCCCATTTGCACTTTTCTTCATAGAACTTTCCGAGGGAGAGCACTTAGTTGAGCCGAATTTGCCTTTCTTTCTGTCTGGCACGTCTAATAGCTTTACCCCACTCCTCAGCTTCATCGGGGTCTACCACAAATGACGAACCAAAAGTCAAAGTCTGCAGAGCTTTTCCGAATCCAGAATTATCACCCACCAAAATGGGGAGGCCAGCGGAAAGAGCTTCGAGTGCTGCGAGACCGAAACCTTCTGTTCGTGACGGCATAATGGCTAAAATAAATCCGTCTCACAGAACGGAGTTTTTCCAATTTACCATGACTGTCAATAAAGCCTCGCACAATAAGTTGGCTACGAGAAATGCCGCACTTCAGCAAGTTGTTTCTGACCTCTTCTTCTTTCCCTTTTGGCGCTCCGACAAATATTAGAAGGTAGCTTTCATCATTCAAGCTTGCTACAGCTTGGGCAGCTATATCGTATCCCTTTAGTTCAAAATCTTCCGAGTCACCCCGATCAAACACTAATACGCGGAACTTTCCCCTCTCCCCACTGGCTTGCTCCATCTTTGCGAACTCCGGAAAGATTCCAGGTGTGATATCTACTGATCACTTATTGATCCTTACAGTACGACCGCACTGGGGCGGAGATGGCTTCCGCTAGCTTCGGTCCTATGGCCGCGACGATTTCACCCTCCTTCCACAGTTTTAATTCAGCTTGGTGTTTTTCCTCGCCTTTCAGTAGCGCTGTTTCGCTTTCCGTAAACATTGCAAGCTCTTTACTGTGGCAGTGTTTGTACTTGCGCCCTTTGGCTGTGATCTGAGCTGGTGCTCCGAGCTGCTGACCATGGCCTGTATATAACAACATCAGTACCAAGATTTTCAGAGGAAAAGCACAAACTCAGGATGGGATCAGACACAGGCATTGCTTATGGCGTGGCAAGACGCATATTAAATTCATCAGCTTCTTGCCTCTCCTTTTCACTTAGTAATGTAAAAGTAGAACGGTTACCTCCTCCGCAGCCTGACATGCCAAGTGCTTTGCTAGTCCTCTGTTCAGCGTAGATAATCCACCCTTTGATGATCCCCGTTCGTCCCCCACTAGTGTTACTCATAAAGAATCTCTCTCGAAAGAGGTTGATGGTCCATTAGCTGAGAGAATTAAATAAAAGAATCTTAAGCAAAGAACGCAATGGTTTGGGTGTAAAATTCAGGACAGATTTGTCCCGAGCGAGCATGTGTCACTTGCATAACTTCACATTTGTTCACATTGAAGTTTATTTGCTTTCCATATGAGGAAAATATCGTAGATATTTTCAGGGGAAGGTGGGTTGCGGTCACCAAACTTGATTCTTACCCCGGGGGGTACTCCTGGGAATTCTTGGTGGGGGTGTGGCCCCCGGTTCTCCAAGCCCGACCCGATTTCAGACCAAAAAATGTAATTTTCCGCACCCGTTTTCAGACCAGACCTTTAAAATCCATACCCGTTTTCAGATTTGGCCTTTAGGCAGAAGTTATATTATGGTTACCTAGATTAGAGCGCAAACAAACAAATTTATCAAATCCATTTCGAATTCTCATATTTCTCTTTCTTTCTTACTCATTTGGATCTGAAACGATAAATACATCCATACACTCTCGCGAGTTCCCCGAAAACCATACGCGATTCCACACCAAAATGGGTAAAGTGTATACCCGTTTTCAGACCAAAACGGCCCAAAAACCCTCCCCGAAGGTACAAACATTAACCACAAAGGACTGCAAAGGACCGCAAAGGAATATGCCGAAGAACGAGGATCTATAAAGACCTGATCAGCAAAAATGACAAGTAGACATATTAAATTCTGCAAGCAGAAAACATGCAATGCTGATCGTACTACGTGAAAATTAACTCTGCACGACATCAACACGACACCGAAAGAACTCAAAAGAGAGCGGGATTGTAGCCATAGACAGCTGTTTCGCCCTTTTTCGGGCTCGTCAGTATGGCGCAACAACCAGAGAAAGCTCTGATGAAAAATATCCACGCACTCTGATTTAAGCCCTGACCTAGAACTCTCAACACTCACAGAATCACGCCCACCCGAAGGGGCGGCACATACCTATAAAGCTTATAAAGGGAGTACCCCCTCTCCCCGAGATTCTTACGTGGAGCGGGGAACACACTTCAGTTGTTGATGTGGAATTGTCCTTTAGTTCCAGTTCCGAAGGATAAATTGTGCTGATGTGATTTCCAAACTCCTCATCGTTAGCGCTGAATAAAATCGTCAATGAATCGAAAAGTGTCGCTAAACCGGGATGGCTTTTGTCATATCTTGAATGAAGTAGAGTTTGACTTTACCAAGGATGAGGGCGACTTGGGAGAGTACATCTCTTACAACCTCTCATGGACCAAGCACATGTCTGAACAATGCTCCAAGGCAAACAAGATGCTGAGATTTATCAGATTTATCATCAACACAAGGTTTGTCATGAGTAGCACCATGGTTAGACGCTCGCTCTGCCAGTCAGATCCCACTTGGGCTACGCCACGCACGTGTATGGGCTCCACAATCCAAGGAATTACTTTAAGGAATATAGACAGAGACCAAATTAATTTTGAACATTACCTTTTTTTTTGCATAGCCTATAAAGACACTTTACAGACAGACTTAATTGACAGACGACCAATAAATCGCGACGTAATTGACCAATCAGATCAATAACCAGAGTATAATACCATCAGCTGACGTGATACAACTCACTTTGACTCCGAAGATGACTACCGCACAGGTTGTCGAAACGTCAGTCACTGTCAACAACAACAGCCCTATTCAGGACTACGTTTTCCCGGACGATCAAACTCAACCTACTTTTGAAATGACTCCTGGGTTCAAACCTTTCACAGACTTATTTTGGGGGATTCGATCTCTCAGCTCATTCTCTCTTCGGCCCTATATTAATGTAATACACTTCACTTGTAGGAAATGTGAGACAACGCTTTGTAAAGGTCTGTTTTCAACCGGACAGCTAGAATATGGAACACTTTTCCAAATGATCTGTTGGAAACCTTGCTCTTGCTCTCCTACTATAATGCTACTGTAGTTATACCTATCGCTAAGTGCCAACGAGCAAAGATTTTACCTATACGCGCATCATTTAAGTTACCCTACACTACGTTATGTTACATCGCTTCGAGATTCATTCTGCCTTGGAACTTTGGCGTACGGCATTATTATGCTGCCGCCTAGCAGCCTCGCGTCTTCGCGCGGCTGCTCGTTGCAATCAATGACATTCGTATGATCCGGAGGATCCAGGCACGTGGGACATAAGATGCATTTAGGTAAATGCTAGACGCTGCTTTAAGTTTTTCAACGTAATACTTAACTTTTACAACGTTTAATGGGCCACAGTAACTGGCTCGCATTGCATGTTGTTGCATTCATAACAAGTCGCCTTGACTATTGCAATGGTCTTTTATATGGACTACCAGAATTGAATAAACTGCAACGAGTACAGAAAGCTTGCGTGAGACTGATTTTTAGAGAACAGAAACTTTGTCATGTAACGTCTCTTATTTATGAATTACACTGGTTACCGATTAAATATAGAATCGGGTTTAAAATACTTTTAGTTACTTTTAAGATCCTTAATTTTTTTAGCGCCTACTTGTTTATCGTCTCTCATTTCTCCTAGGCTCCCATCTAAATATAATCTAAGGAATTCTAGTGATAACCTTTTACTTAGTTATCCGCGTTTTAAACCTAAAGCTACACTAGGTGATCGTTCTTTTACCTGTGCTGCACCGAAACTGTGGAATGCGTTACCATTTGACATAAGAAGCGCCAGCACAGTTAGTATTTTTAAAGCCAAGCTAAAAACTCACCTTTTCCGACATGCATTCTTATCATAGTTCTTTTTATTATTGTGAGTTTACTTTTAATTGTAATTTTAGCTTTTTAAATCATTGTAAGCTTACTCTTGATTGTAATTTTAGCTTTTTAGCCTTTTTATTTCGTTTTTAATCTTGTCATGCGCATTTGAACATTTTATGGAATTTGCGCATTATAAATGTTTTATTATTATTATTATTATTAATAATATTAATATTATTATTATTTCTTAGTTTTAATTAACTTTTTTTTTTTAAGCTAAAATCAAGTGCTTTTTAAATAGACAGAAATTGTAAATAGTGTTTTTGAATGAATAGTTTTTTCTTTTTTTTTAAGCGAATTAATTGTAAATAGGATTTTAATAGTTTTTTAATAAAATTGTCTAATTATTATTATTATTATTATTATTATTATTATTATCCCTGCCTTTTCTGTCACATTATGTATTATGTATTTTCTTTTGTTTATTTATTAGGCTGTCTGTGGCGCATCCAATAATATAAAATGAAGATGAAAAGTTTTTTCATTCATTCATAGTTTTCCCTTTTACAATTTTTTCTTTGCATTCTTTCCTCCGCATGTCACTGTTTCTTAATGTTATGTTATGTTATCTTTTTTTAAAGTTTCATCCTTATTGGTCGTTTCAATTTTTTTATATTTTTACTTTTCTAACTGCCACGCTTTCATACTGTAAACTTTATAACGATCGACTTTCTGATTCTTTCATTAAATCCGAACAAGGACGACAACTCGGCCGTCTGAAGTATAGCCTGCGTAGCAGGCGTTTCCGAATCGAGTTATAGCGGAAAGTTGTGACAAAAGCAAAAACCATTTAATCCCTCCCTCTTTGTTGCTCTCGTTCCAACTTTGTCGACGAATTCGCGCGAAAATATTTGCTACGCAGGCTATCCGAATTAGTAAGTTCACTGAATGCAGGATATTTTTAAAGCTTCAACGTTTTCCACATAAATTGCTATTTTGAGGGAATTGCTAAGATTTATGAGAACTGTTTATTACTGTTATTATCATAATTTACTTATTTATTTTTATTGTTATTTATTATTTGTTTTCTGGTTTGGTCGTGGTCAGTTGTTGTTGTTTTTTTTTTCTAATTCCTACAGGTGTTCTTTGCCCTGGAAACAGCAACATTTTCTACTTTTAGAACCCAAGAACCTAAGACTTCAAGGGCCTTACTACTATCTCGCAGTATAAAACTATGGAATGCTGTCTACATTATGAGTAGTATAAGGCGCATAATGTAACCTACGCCACTTGAGAAGCTATACTTATAGAAGTAAAAAAAGGTCGGAACGAAACCTAATACAATCCTAATATACATAATGATATGAATCTCTCTACTTAAAAAGCCAATTTATAATATTATTAAATTCTTATACTCTGTAAAACCTACGCAAAGACATGATGATATAATTATCTCTACTAAAACTTATTTAGAAAATTATTCAGTTTTTATACTCTCATTATCTCTTATATACCTAAACGAGGCCATCATAATGTGGTTATCTCTACTAAAAGCCTATTTAGAATAATATCAAACCCTAATACTCTATAAAATCTAAGTAAGAACATCAGTAAACTTGTGTTTCTGGATTTCTAGAGAAGAAAACCCCTAAAATCTGGTGTCCTTAGCGCCCTAACTAAGTATTTATCCTAAATTTTCTGGCAATGTTCAAAGTGTTTGAGATGACCGCGACTTCTGTATCCGCTCAAGTACGCTCCGTGTGCTCTCGCTCCTAGTAGCTTCCTCACCGACTTCTTTAGGTGTTTAGAGTATCCACCCAGTACGTCAATTATTACGTTGTACCGTTCAACCCTGTAACCATTGTATCTCTCCTTCAGCTCCCACATCATGGGCCCATACTTGAGTGTCTTCTCCTCATCTTTTTTGGCTCTACTCTCAATCAATTTCAATTGTGCAGACTTCTTTCCTCTCGTGGCTGACAAGTTGCGCGTCGATCCGATTTGCTCTAACTTCGTTGTGCTCTGCATAGATGGGAATATCCCAAAACGCCTCACTCGAGGTGTTCTGGTAAGCTGGTTTTGGCATCACCGGTGAGTACCATAGTGGAACCTCTTCTATTAACCCATGCTATCGCAGGAGCTCAAAAAACATAATCTTCAAAGTTGCATTATGCCTGTATAGGTACATGGTTTGTGCCAGGAAGGAACATCCAGCCAGTACAGGTGCAATGCTCTCAACTACCTTCCCACATAACCTGCATAGGACCTCGCCGTCGGTAGAGGTTTGCGTCTTCTCCTTTGTGTAGAGTTTCGTAGGTAACAACTGCTCATACAGTTCATACATGCCCGCGATGGTATATGTAGGGCATGTAGCCCAGCCTTTTAACCATGCAAAACAGCTGGTTATGCTTAGGTTATCATCTTCTCATCTGATAGGGAATAACTTTCCTTGCACTTTTTGTCTTTAGCCGCTCCAAGAACTGCTTCTCTTGAGATTGCTTCAACAGATTGCCAGCTCTTGCTGCAGTCACCACCTTTCCTTCCGTTGTAACACACACGGGATTTAGGGTATCAAGCTATTATTATTATTATTATTATTATTATTATTATTATTATTATTATTATTATTATTATTATTATTATTATTATTATTATCATTATCATTATAGTATCTGTAAATCTGTTGACTCAGATTTACGGATTGAAAATATTAGAGCCTGCCCGAATTAATCCTTTTTTTAAGGAACTTTTTAAAGAATTAGGAATTTAGGAATTCTCTTTAACTTGTTTTCTTTTAATATCAGAGGCGAATAATTCTCTTTTGCAATGACTTAATTTAAAACACTGGACCGCCTGCAAGAGTTATTGATCCCACCTGAGCCGCAAGGAATGTATTTGGGAAATCGTTATAATTTATATAATTCTTAATGTTGTATAGTGCTTAATTCTTATTTTAAATATTTCTGTAAATTATGTAAATATTTTTTAAGTTAAATTTGTTATTATCATTATTATTATCAATAATTTTTATTATTATTGTTTATATTTTCTGGTTTGGTCGCTCTCGTTCCGTTGCTGTTTTTTCTTAAAAATTTCTCGCTGTGCATCATGGGGTTTACGGCGCCTCACCCTACCCCACCCTCTCCGCCTTTGTTCTGACAAAGCGGAGGTGCATTCTGGGATACGAGGAGGAAAAAGTGCTTGACGAAGCATGGTTTTTGTGTGTGTGGTCAAGAAAATACAAACTTCTTCGCGTAGAAATATAGTTCAGTAGAACATGTAAGCCAGAACAGAAATACTGATTGTAGAAGGTTAGCAGGAATGATAAATCTCTGGGAACCAAACGTGTTTGATCAAATTGATCAGGTAAGTTGTTTTCATGATCATGAGGGTGATGAAGGGGAAGGAAGAATGACTTTGGTTTCCCGACGTATATAATCGAACATTCGGTAATCGAAATCAATCGAATAGGGTTGAATTTCATCAAAACGATCGAACAACAACTGAAACGAACAACAACGTAAACGATCGAACAACAACTGAAATTTCTTTTCCTTCAAAATCTCTCAATTTTATATTTGTATTAATATTATTATAACATGCTGTGGCTATATGGCCGGTGACCGGTCAAGGTTTTCAAATCACTAAATTGCCGGCAGTCCTATATTCTCAGTAAATTTCACAAAATCGAAAGATTGTAGCTAATCTAAACTATCATATTTCGATTAAGACAAGTCAAGCGACCCTGAAATGCTTTATAGATCTGGTTTACGCTGGGCTCAGAAGACGAAACCGTGTTTTGTGACACTTAGAACTTTTTTCAGCTCGACTGCCGGTCAAGGTTTTCAAAACACTAAATGGCCGGCAGTCGTATATTCTCAGTACATTTCACAAAATCGAAAGATTGTAGCTAATCTAAACTATCATATGTCGATTAAGGCAATTCAAGTGATCCTGAAATGCTTTACAGATCTCAAGTCTAGTGTTTGGTTTACGCTGGGCTCAGAAGATGAAACCGTGTTTTATGACACTTACACTTTTTTCAGCTCGACTGCCGGTCAAGGTTTTCAAAACACTAAATAGCCGGCAGTCCCATATTCTCAGTAAATTCCAAAAATTAAAAAAAATCAGCCGTTCTGAACTATCATAAGTCCTGATCCTGATCAAACCAGCCAGTTTTGTGGGATTTCTATATCATGTTTTTGTTGGTCTCGAGTCTTGGATGTTCGTTACTATTTTCTGTCCAAAGCATGGCTTGACAGGTGACATTTGACCTCACAACGGCCTCTGCGGAAAGCTGGGGGGAAAAGTGTCCACTCGTTAATTGGGTCTGCTGGTTCTGGAAAACACTAGACTTGAGATCTATAAAGCATTTTAGGATCGCTTGACGGAATTGACTTGTCTTAATCGACATATGATAGTTAAGATTAGCTAGAATCTTTCGATTTTGTGAAACTTTCAGAGAATATGGGACTGCCAGCCATTTAGTGTTTTGAAAACCTTGACCAGCAGTCGAGCTGAAAAAAGTTCTAAGTGTCACAAAACATGGTTTCCTCTTCTGAGCCCAGCGCAAACCAAACACTAGACTTGAGATCTATAAGGCATTTCAGGATCGCTTGATTTGTCTTAATCGACATATGATTAAAAAAAGGGTTAAGTTTGATTGAATTCGACTGAAATTTTGTTCAGTTTTGTTCGATTAGATACATCGGATAGTACATTGATCATGACGTTTCTACTGCATAGGGTTAGGGTTTGAGGTCAAAATAAAATTCAGGACAATTTTTTTTTTACCTTTGTAGATTCTCAATTTCATAAAGAATTGGCTCACATTCTTAAACTTCAACTTGTCAGAACATAGGGAACTGACAAGCGGCCATGACAGTAAACTGTGACCAAAGCTAGCCCGAGCGCACACATGTAAATGCTAAAATCTGATTGGACTCTAACACAATGCAATATTGTCATACCCTTCCTCGTTTATAAAAAAAGGTGTACAAACTACAGTATAGATACAACATAACAGAAACGAACATTAGCTAAGCACCAAAAAATAAAGACACTGATCATCTCAAATTTCATCCGTTTTCTGCTACAGTCGACTCCTGGTAACTCGAACCATCTATAGCTTGAACCTCCCGCTAACTTGAAGCAATTTTCATTTCCCTTCAGATCGTTTTCTATATAATTTTACCCTTGATAATTCGAACTTCCGATAACTCTAACTTTGTTCTATTTCCCTTGAAGGTTCGAATTATCGGGAGTCGACTGTTGTAATTAAGGTCTATGAGATAACGGAGAAATCTTCAGGGTTAAAAAATTTCAACCTGGATTTAATTTGATTAACAACACATGTCCCAAGGAATTGTGTCTATTATGTCTAATTAATTATTTTTGGCATGCTTTTCTGCTCCATCCCCTCAGAAAATCATCTTTTCAGCCTCATAACTGTCAGAAATTCCATGTCTTCACATACCGCCTGAGAAAAGCTTTTTAACTGGGCAAGAAGTGTAGATATTTTAATTGGAAATGGCCCTCAGGTTTTATCTCAACAAAGGTAGAGATAAAAAGTTGGTATGTTGTATTAACAGCCATCAACATTTAAAAATTTTGACAGCGTTTATGGATGGAACAAATTTCAAATTTCAACCATCCCTTTGCCTTGATGATCATAGGCAATCTAACTTTCAGACAAAAAATAGTTGACCTTGAATTCCATATACATTCCATTCTCAGTATTTGTTATGCAATCAGTGGCTGCTACATTACATGTAACTGACAGTAAATGTGTGCCCATCGAGTACATGTTCAAAATAAATAACCTCAAACTATGTTAATTTTGCTTTCTCTGTTATTATTTTTTTTCATCTTCTCATCCCCACACCTCATGAAAACCCTGTGTGTAGATATTTCTAGTTATTATTATTATTATTATTAATTATTATTATTACCGTGTATTAACATTATTATTATTTTTAATTATCACTTGTGTTCATACACTTTAGAAAATCATTGAATTTGGGTGTGAGGCTTTTAATTATTAGTCAGGTGGATCAGAAGTATAGGCAGTGGAATTGAAAAGAGTAATGGTGGCTGATGATATATTTTTTTCTTGCTTTATCAATGTTTGAAGTTCTAAATTCACACCCACTAGCCCGTATCAAGCTCAGTAGTTGTGAGGCCCTGCCAGGGGGGGTCCCATGTCGCCCATCTGAATTTCAAAACGTCTCGTGTCGGTGTTTATAAATGCTTGTCGCTTATTGTCAGCTTTGCTGTCACTGTCGTAATTTGGCCGAGGGAGGTTGTCTGTTGTCGCGATTTACTACTTTTTGGGCCGTATCGCTTGTCGGAATTTACCCTGGCAGGGCATCAGTTGTGGTAATTGCCTTCTAAAACATTGCAACAAAATAGTAACTGTCAGTGGAGTTTATTAAGTGTTGTATGTGTGTGACTCTCTTTGCAGAATGCATTTAGGAGGCTTGATGGCAACCTCCTGGTAGGTAACATTTTGGCCCAGCACAATGGAACTTATTTCTCAACTAATAAATTAAAATGTACCATCCTTGCTTCTCGTTATTATTTTTTGTATGGTGCATGTTTCACTAGAGAGCTAGCAAAACAACTGGCCAAATTTAAACAAGTACAAGTCAGCGTGTTGGTTCCAGAAGATACTCGTTACAATGAGTACGAGGAGAGAAAAGCCAAAGAGAGCGGAGTTACCATTGTTAAAGCCAAGAAACGACCAGGTTTTTTTGAGTCCATTGAGTGGCTGAACTACCCACCAGCAGACCTCAAAACAGACATTGTTATTGGAGTTGGTGAGCAACTGGGTAAGGTTGCACAGAACTGGAAGATGCGGTATCAGTGCAAAAGCATTCAATTTGCCGGTGGAAATGATTGGGAAAGGGTGTATCATGACACTGTTTTTGACCATGCGGGGCTCCTGTATGATAGGCATATTAATCGTTTTAGGGGGCTCTCCCTGTCTGCTGATATTCCTGTTGCAGTTGGACCAAAGACAGCTGATAAACTGTCTGCCTCCCTCCGCTCGAAAGGGAAACAAGTGTTAGGCTTCACTCCTGGAATAATCAGCGAATTTAGTAGCTTGACCCACGCCACTAAGGATGGAACAGATTTCCGTGTATTGTTTGTTGGTGGGATTAATCCTGACAATTCTCAGGAAGATGGGGTTGAACTTGCTACCAAAACAATGGCTGAGTTAAATGATAAATCCTATCACCTAATTCATGTTGGTGCAGGGAAAGGAAGAGAGCAGCAATTTGCCAATTTATTTCATCAGTCTGGTGTTCCTAAAAGGCAGTTTGAAATGAGAAACCCTCCACAAACTGATGAAGAGTGGAAAGATCTATTGTGTGAGGTGGATCTCGCCATTATGCCATCAGGTGATGAGGAGTTTGGTGGGGAGGCACTTGTTGCATTATCTGCTGGGCTTCCTGTGCTTGTCCATGAGGAATCAGGATTTGGCAGGGCTCTCAAGGATGTCGGATTTGGCCAAAGTGCCATTGTGGATTCTGATGATCCCAAACAGTGGGCTTCGAGAATCAAGAAAGTCAGAGAAACAAACAGGAAGACCAGGCTTGAGCAAGCTGCATTGTTGCGTTCTAAGTACGATGAGAAGTACAGCTGGGCAAAACAGTGTGGAGCTCTGGTTGAAATGATGTGTATGATGGCTTCTGGTATGGAGTTGTTTTTCATATTTATTTTTATACTACTACATGAGAAATTTCTGCAATTTGATTAGCTCAGAGCAGCGGTATTTCAGCTTAATTTGAAATACCTACATGTGAAAATAACAAAACGTTTGCAGGTAGTAGTATAAACAAAAAATAGCATTATCTGTATGTGATATTTGGCATAAATACCACTTGTGATATTTCAAATTGTCTCACTCGTGGTATTTATGCCAAATATCACTACAAATCATGCTATTACCTATACTTATTTTGCTTTTAAAGTATTAATATTGAACATCTCTAATTACTGTATGGGTAATATATTACAGATTCATAGCATGATATTGTACTAATTAATTTTTCAAAATTATCAAGCTGTAAAAGATCCGATAAATTTTGAAAGCTTTGAGCCCAAAAAGTAAACACTTTCACCCTTTACAGTGTATTCCAAAAGGAAGGATTCATACCCAGAGATGCTTATCTCTGGAGATATAAAATCTGGAGACTCTAGACTCTCTTATTCACCAAGCCACCAACCCCCCCCCTGTATTTCAACGGACCACCCTCCCCCCTGAAAAATTGACCAGCCTCCAATGGGAATGGCTTTAGGACATTATATGAAGTCTTACATAAAGTACATATTGTCAAAATTTGCGATAATCGTTTTGATGCTGAAATACACTGTAATCTTTGTCAGTGACTAAATATGTACAAAAGTGCACCAGAAACGGTACCAAATTTTGAGGGAAAAATGGGCTAAATCCCAAACTGAAGCACAGAAAAGCTAAAAAAGCCATTTTATTTGGGAGATTTGGTGACACATACGGGAGAGCTGGAGATCAGTGCTGTTTCCGGGAGAGTTCGCATGTATGCATACGCACCACACCTTGAAAGTTTGTGAAAATTTGAAAATGGATATCCTAGACTTTGAAAGTCCTTGTGATATGTTTATTGCTGTTTAGACTGAGGAAGTCATTACTATACAGACAATTAATACTAATCAGAAGAAGCCCTTTCACCTGAACATCTACATATCTGTTGCTGTTACTTAGTTAATTAGCTTGTAAATGGTTTGGCTACAACCACAAGACTCTCAAAATAGTTTCAAAAGGCAGCACTTTAGTTTTCAACTGACAAAATTTTCTCTTGGTACATGCAGTACATGTATTTCCTTCTTGGTTGCTTAAGCCAATAATCCATGTACCAAACAAGCTGTGAATTCTTCACAACTAATATATTTACTTTACTTCTTGCCTGGTTGTTAGAGAGTATAAAACTTGTTGATGTCACTTATTCACACCATCCATTCATGTATAAATTCATAACAATAAATGCAATACGTGTAATGGCTGGAAATTTGTGTACTTGCCAAAACCCTTTTACTGGATATGTATGCAGTCTTTTTCATTATGGTGTTGGGTATATAATAAAATGTCTTTTAACTTATTAACTCAATTAACTCACATGTATTCAAGTAACTCAGTCCAGTCTACCTCTGTATGTTAGTTAATTAAATACTATTGTTTATTTTTGCAGCTCAAGACAACTGAGAGGGTATGATTTTAAGTCAATGGTCCAAACAAAACCTCTTGATTTCTCACAGACAGATTGATGCGCATTTTTGTTATGGTAAAAGACAATAGACATTGGAAAACACTACGTTGAATTTATCTATTGGGTGACGTGTTAACACTCAGTACATAACTTGTACATTTACTCCCATGTAGAAAAGGTGTGAAATAGGATATAGTTTAACAGTTACACCTTTTTATGTCCCACTAAAATGTTTGTGGGACAGTCTTTCATAGTTAACCAGTTTGATCATGTAGAAGCAGATTATTTCGGATATTTTGTCCATAATGAAGTCAACGGCAAGAACCATCGTTGCATTTGGTTTAAATCAGCTCTCAGACTAGGTTGAATCTTTTATTTTAATACGTGTAAATACAGTTTTAAGAGCTTTATTGGTTGGCTCATTCTTTATTGACTGACTGCCCTGTAGTGGGTGAGTGCCCCGTGGGGGCTACTCCTGAAAAATTTGTGTGGGGTTGGGCAGAATGCCTCCTGAAACCCCGACCCTATATCAGACCAAAATAGGATCCCCGCCTCCCCCCCCTATTATAGACCATAATAGACGAATGATAAAAAAAATACCCATAAACGGTTAAATCTATGCTCAGTTTCTTCAGGCCAAAAAATATATCCTTTGGCACCAAGGCAGTACCCCCTGCCACTCCCCAAGGGGGGGGGGGGTGAGGTGGGCAGGTTGATTAATCGACAATATTTACTTGATGAGATCACTTGATGCGGACTGCTTATCTTAGGTTGCAGGCTATGCGTGCACGTGCTTTTGCTGGGGCGTTGTTCGGGCACAGAGGCTTCAGTTGTTGCCCAGGGAGTTGGGCGTAATTGATCAGAAAGAATGAGGCGAATACAAACAGTGGAAAGAGCCCTAATTTGCTAATTAGATTGCATTTCGAACCTTGATTTAGTAAATTGTTGATTGTTCAAAGACTTAGAGACATATGAGAGATACCAAAAAAAGAGAGGGAGACATTGTAGTCTTAAGTTTAGTCAGTTTAGTGACCGCATTAGTCCCCCTTCTCTTCTAGATCGATAGCAGCGGGGTTGTAACACGAGCTCCATAAATCATTCCCGCTTTCGGACGAATTTTAAGGGGTATTAAGGCACCCCAGTTCATACACGGTGCGCGCAAGGACGTTATTTCTCTATTCTCCCTTTTTCCTTCCCTTTCGAATAAACGCCAGCCTCGTAGCCTGCGAAGCGCAGACGTATTTCCGGTCGTCGCTTCTCTCCCTCCGAAATTAACCAATTAATTTTCGGAGGGAGAGAAGCGACTACCAGAAATACGTCTGCGCTTCGCAGGCTACCTGCCACACAGCTTAGAGTTGCCTATTCCCTAGGCCCCCCTCCTTGGCATGACATAGGAAGGGGTGTGTCTTAGGAAGGGTAATACCCTTCGCTGTGTTCAATCGTCCTTTGTTTGTTTGTTTGTTTGTTTTGTTCAACCAGCCAGTGAAACCCTTAACCCTCTTCCACATAAGCCCAAACATTTCCTTGATTTAAAACGTCCTAAGGCGAACATAAGTGAAAAATTTAACTCTCCCGTGTTTCTCGAACGCGGCAAACGAGTTTGTTCATTATAATTAGATTTCATAAGCAAGATGGCGAATTCTTACAAGACAGTAAGACTCGAAAGATTTCCCTCGGCCCTTGCTCCCCAAAGCCCGCCTGCCTCCAATAACGCCTGTTGCCATCGCTTCAAGTTCTTTCCCGTTTAACACGAAAATACTTAAAAAGAATCCGCTCTGCTATTCTTTAATTGATAGTTCAAAAAAAATTTGTGTGGGAGTATTACATTCATGTGCGCAACGAATTGCTTGAACTTTCATTCTTGATTAGAGTGACTTTTCGAACAATTTAGGTTTCTGGGAAACTGCCCACCTACCCCTCCCACAAGCCATAATTTTCCCCTATAAGTGAGAAGTAAGTGTTAATGTTAGCTTAGGGGAGGGGTAGGTGGGCAGTTTCCTTAGAAACTAAACTTGATCAGACTTTTCTATCTCTTGCACAACCTTTTCTTTTTATATCAAAACAGCTGATATCATTTCAATTAAAAAAAAACTTACCACGTCAGCTTAAAACCACTAAAATTATTTTGGTGCAATGTATAGTGCGTTTTTATTCATATAACTAGCAGGCGTTCAGATATCGCCACAGGACTGGCTTGGTGCACTAATCTGGTAGTCTCCCTCGCAGCCGTTTTTTGGATGTCACGCAAGCAACGTGACATCCAAAAAACGGCTGCGAGGGAGACAACTAATCTGGTCGCCCGGTTGGCATTATTTTCGTGACATCAGGTTAAAAAAGCCCTATAAAGCATAGCAGTGCTAACTAATAGCGCATACCCTAGACTTATCTACTAGTCTGCTACACAGCCGTTATTGTCGTCACGCAGACTACTAATCTACTGTCTCTTTACTGGCTATTTACAACGGTGCCAAAGATTGGAACCCAGGACAACTGTGTTAAAAGATTCACGCGGTCAGAGAAAGGACTTGATGAACTCCGCAACCCCCACAACAGAAGATTAAACACGTGATTACATGCATGTCAAGGCTACGTCCTCAAGAGCCTAAAATTAAGTAGTCGTAAGAAGACAAGTAATAAGTAATATAAGAATCAAACTGTCATTTTGTGCATTAAAATTGATATGCACGGATGCACGGGCAGTTTTTGTCATTGGCAAAGACTATCCAATGAATCATAACGACCCTGGCAAAGACCTTAACCGATCATTGAAGTTTATTGAAAAAGAAGGCGCATTCTTTCAAGCAGGATCTTACATTGCGTCTCCCACTTGAACTTTTCGTCATAAAACTCTCGCAGAGAGAGCGCTTCGTTGAGCCGAATTTGCCTTTCTTTCTGTCTCGCACGTCTAATAGCTTTACCCCACTCCTCAGTTTCATCAGAGTCTACCACGAACGACGAACCAAAAGTTAAAGTCTGCAGAGCTTTTCCGAATCCAGAATTATCACCCACCAAAATAGGGAGGCCAGCGGAAAGAGCTTCGAGTGCTGCGAGGCCAAAACCTTCTGTTCGTGACGGCATAATGGCTAAATCCGCCTCACAGAAGAGATTTTCCAATTCACCACGACTCTCAATAAAGCCTCGCACGATAAGTTGGTTGCGAGAAATGCCGCACTTCAGCAAGTTATTTTTGACCTCTTCTTCTTTTCCTTTTGGCGCTCCGACAAATATTAGAAGGTAGCTTTTATCATTCAAGCCTGCTACAGCTTGGGCGGCTATATCGTATCCCTTTAGTTCAAAGTCTTCCGAGTCACCCCGACCAAACACTAGGATGCGGAACTTTCCCCTCTCCTCACTGGCTTGCTGCATCTTTTTGAACTCCGGAAAGATTCCAGGTGTAATATCTATCACTTGTTGATCCTTACGGTACGACCGCAGGGGGGCGGAGATGGCTTCCGCTAGCTTCGGTCCAATAGCCGCGACGATTTCAGCCTCCTTACACAGTTTTAATTCAGCTTGGTGTTTTTCCTCGCCTTTTGGTAGCGCTGTTTCGCCTTCCTTAAACATTGCAAGCTCTTCACTGGCAGTGTGTACTATATGAACTCGCTTGCACTTGCGCTGTTTTGCTATGGCCTGGGCTGGTACTCCTAGCTTCTGACCATGGCCTACAACAACATCAATATCATGATCTTCTCTGGTAAAGCTCAATGCCCGGATGGAATCAAACCCAGTCATTGGCTCAGGTGTCGCAAGGCTTACTCTACAGTCATTAGCTTCTTGCTTCTCTCTTTCACTGTAATGTGGCAACAGAAGGGTTACCTCTACCCCAGGCTGCCGTGCCAAATGTTTTGCTAGTTCTCTGTTCAGCGTAGATAATCCGCCTTTTGATGATCCCCATTCGTCTCCCACTAGTGTTACTCTTAAAGGGCCCCTTGCGAAAGAGGTTGATGATCCCTCAGATGTGGCATCCTTAAGACGCAGAGAGAAAGAATTAAATTTAAAAAAAATCATCAGTACGGGATTCCGGATTCCAGAATCCGGGAAATTTTCTTCCTGTGTCATCCGGACTGGGGAAAAATTTTGCTTGTGGAATCCGGATTATCCCTCAAAAAATCCGGAATCCCCCTAACGATTGGAATCCGGATTATCCAAGTACCACTGACAAAGACTGGATTCCAGTACCGGAGTCCACGGCGTGGAGTCCAGAATCCAAGTCGACTGTCTTGGATCCCCTTACGTGGGGGCCACAGAACGATCTTGATCTAAACATGATTATTAAGATCTGAATCGTCGGAAAATGCAATTCTAGAGCTCTGATTGGCTTAGCCATCATGGTATATGCGCCATTCTACCATGATCTACAAATATGGTAAATGTACACGTCTGCTCCAAGTTAAAATTCCATATCTTTCAAGAACTCATTTTCGAAAAAATTTTTCAGAAATATTGAATCCTTTTTTTTACGAGCACTAAAAGTGCAGGCAATCTTGTCGATATTTTTACCTATCGTTCGCGTTAGTCCCCCACTCGGTGAAATGTGTCCAAATATGGAGCGTGACGAAAAAAAAGGACATCGGGCAAAAATATGCGAAGATTCGCGGTAATGCTTTATTGTTTAACAGAGTAAATGGTCGAAAAATGTGTGGTTTTTGAATGCAGCAACTCTCGAAATAAAGAGAAAGGAATCAGCATGCATAAGATTCCCTCTGATAGGTGTCCTTTTCTTACGTCACAGCTAAAAAAGTGTCAAATATCGGACGCTTTTCATTGGCTCGTTCTTAATGAGCCCACGAGACAAAAATTTGTCCAGCGGGGCTTATAGCGCGCCAAAATTTAAAAATTTCAGTAACTTTTAGCGCTCGTCAAAAAAAAGGATTCAATATTTCTGAAAATTGTTTTCGAAAATGAGTTTTTGAAAGATATGGAAATCTACCAAAAGAAAACAAATTGAAGGGTTAGGGACACTTACTCGTGCTTGTATATGATCATGAGATGATTACGCGCCGAGTTGGCTATCTACCATCTCATATCCAACACGCACTCGTGGAATAATTTTTAAATATATTATTTGCGCATAGCTCAGAGTAAAGTCCAATTGAAACTAGTGGCCAAATGAATACAATGACAGTACAAAATATAATATTAGCCGGTTTTGTCGTAAAAAAAGCAATACATTTTTTTAAAAATAATATTTTTGCCCATTCAAACCGGGGAACTCAGCTTTAAAATTGAATAACTTTCGGCAGTACAAGCTATGAACCCCCTTAGTGTTAAATAAGTCACTTTCGAGTTCCCCTGTACCTCTGTATTTGAACAAGGTTAAGTGGTCAGCCTTTAATATGGAAATGATTATTTTTATTTTCATGCAAATAAACCTCATTTTCACAAGAAAGGTACCCTGCGAGCAGAGGCTACATTTTCGCGGTATGAGCTGGCGTGCGAAAAGTACAAGAAAGGTTGCGCACTTGGCCTCATTTTGAAAGTGAGGGTTTTTGGAACTTGGAAGTCATTGGCCTATTTATCGGGGAGCATTTGACGTAGTGCATATGTGCGTGGTTTACCTCAGCTTCCCTCCGCATAGTGCCTCGGATATTCACTAACTTGATTATAATATTACCTAAATTGAGAAAGAATGAAAAAAAGTTAATAAAATAAAAAAAAACATGGATGATAAGAGGTTCTCATTCGTGTACCTGATTTTGTGCTAAGACAACGCGCAGAAAAGATAATTAAAATTAATTACAAGTGTTTAACATATATTCATCAATATGAGTAGTCTGTCTTTTGCTGACAGTACACTGCTGTTTTGCAACATTTATCGTGATTTAAAATAAATTTTTTTCCTAAACATAAATGGGAAGGAAGTATAATATATATGTCTAGAAGATCTGGATATAGGCAAGCTTAACTTTATCAAAAAGATGAAGCTTTCTTCAGCGCCGGATAAAGGTCAGTTTTTTTTTAAATTTTTCCTCATAGAAATACTGGGCAGTAAAATATCCGTTCATAGCTGTCCGATCTTTCTTGCACTTTATAGTTTAAAAAACCAACATTTTTCCAGTCAGTACAATTACACACTCTCGAAAATATCCACGTTTCCTAGGCGACCGCGACCTTTTTAGGGGGGAAGGTTAATTTTACACTGCTTTTATCCTTTTTGTAAGCAGCCACTTGACATACGCATGATTTGATCTCTATGTTCTCTTTGTGTACTACACTACTCAGACTATGAAGAGCTTATAACAACATGCATGAAATGAATTCTCTTTCTAAAAGAAGACGTTCGAACCTCTTCATGGGAAGAAGTCCTTGTGGTTCGATTCTCGTACGCGAGAGAGTCGATGATAGTTTCTTAATGACCTGTAATTGTTCTGACCGTCTACCAGAGCTCAAAACAATGTTTTTGTTTTGCAAAATATCATAATATAGCGAGGACCAGAGAGGGGTTCCAAGACAGCGTCACAGATAGTGTCGTTTTCCTAAATTTTTTTCAGATTCTGAAATTAATTTTTTAAACGTTCTTCGCCAAGAGAGGATATCCTCTTCTGATCTTAACACATATCTTGTTTTCGTTGACATAAGTTAGCGATAAATCCATGCTAATTTTCTCTAATTATTGTAATATTTTCCGGACATATACTCGCGAGCGTGAGAAAAGGCAAAAATGACCACGTGACCATTATTTCCTTCCAATACTGCGCATGCCTTTTGTCGAATTCTCTCTGATTTCAACACGAAGCTGAATGTTTCTACTTACTATTAAAATTTGTGAAATCGGATATAACAAAATAGAAATTGCATAGTCATCTTGACCTCCGCTTGCTCTGGAGTGTAGTAAATTTAAAAAAAGAGCATCCCAGTTTATCACATAAAAGTTGAACAGTTTTTACTTCGTTACAATTTGACTCGTGTGTGGTTCGCGATGTATACAGACAGAGAAGAGCTCTTAGAAATAAAAAAGAAACAAATTTTACACAGTTAACTAGACAACTGACAAATTTTAACTTGAAGAAATGAGAAACGCACTCTTGTAAAATTTATACCTGCTATTTTCTAACAGTTAGATCAGAATCCGTCTCCTTGATTCAAACTCAATTTTGATCGATCATATCCTTACGCTGTTCCTAATTAAACAACGAAATATTTTATTATCTAATTAAGCATGACTTTCGAAAAATTTCGTCTTAAATCGAGTATTCTCAAAACCAGCATTGTGATTTTCGGCATAAAAAATACCCTTAATTTTAAGAGACCATTTTCCCTGCCAGAAGAAGCCTCTTTTCCCCGGAGAAAATACTATTCCATTGACTCAGATGATCATAACCCGGCAGTTCCATGAAATGCTGACCGGAGACGTCACGGAACCAAGAAAGATTTGTTGATCCAAACAATGCGGTTTGGAGGTCACTTAAAAGTTCATCACGCATTTTAATACTTTGCATCACAACCCTTTCTTGTTGTCTTTCGATTCTGTTTCTCTAATCATAAGTATGATACGTATAATGTCGTTCTCGCTGTCATATCTCCCTGTTTGCCCTCTTTAGTTGTTCGCGGGGATGAAAAACTTTAAGTAGAATTCAGTTTCAAATGATAGAGGAGAAAGAAGACGAAGCTTAGCTAAAATGGAATTTTACGGTCTATGTATCTCGTCGCCTCTTTATTTTTCCAAGAAATGTTGAACTTATCCGTGGACCGAGGTGGAGCTATTAACCAGCGAAGAATACTTTAGTTCTGACACGTTCATCATCCAGTTCAGCTCTTGAGTCACAACAAAACTTAAATTGGATGGCATTTATTATTATCAGCCTATTTTATATTACTTGTAGTTAAATAAATTACCATACATATGTACAACGGTCACTGCTTGGCATGATTCCCGGGGAATGATTCAATATTCAAGTTCCCATCCTAAAGTAAAATATGGCCTCGGTAGTTGTTGGCTTCTTTGCTCTGGAGATTCTGAACTGTCACTAAGTCTGATTGCCTTGGAGTATTAAAGCCCTTTCAAACAGCCGTGATGCTGTTACGTTTATAACTCTGTCTGTTAACCCTTCTCTGATTATAACAAGAGGTGGGCTAGTTTCTGCGGAAATAACCAGCTCTAATACGTTCTCTATAATATTCAAGCACTTGTAATTATATTAAAACGTATAACTGTACATGAAGGCAAATCAATAATAAAATTCGGTGGCAGTCGGTTGACGTTAGCGGTGGGCTGAATGACGTGGTACACTACACTATAAAACTAAGGGGTACTAGGAGAAGGGAGCCAGAAGTTGTTCTAAGGGCCTTATATCAGCCAATCGATAGTGATCTACTACTGAGCCATCCACACAAGGAAACTTATGGTCTAACTTAAATTATCAGTATTAGCAATGCAGTCTACGAGCATAATAAGTATTGGGCTTGCTGACCTATCAAATTGCATGAGTTCTCTAATGTAAACACATGTAAACAGTATCAGCAAAGAACGTGAAATCTAAGTACACTTACCGCTACAATTATCCTCTTATGTAGTACCGGGTTTTATCCAGATACGTAGCAGATTTCCTTTTTAACGACGAACAATTATTCTGTAGCTAGCATGACAATTTACGGCTTGATAAGAATGAAGGGTCAATCGTTATCGCAAAACAAGAAGTCTCTTACGTTAATTGTCCTCAATGCGTGTCGGCCTTCCACGTAAGGCTGCTGCTAAAAGGAGGACCGTCGGAAACTATAGGGTTGAGGGTTTGCAATATATCAACAGCGTTTTAAGGATGTTTGCCAATAACAGGAGCCTGTCAATACCCAGCTTATATCATGCTAAATCTATTTCCTCGTGCGAAGTCCCTCGTCTGTTAAGAGGGACGGGAGGCTCTGGGGATGAGTATGCTTTCAAGCTAAACGTATCATATCCACGGTCCCCTGGCTTTCTAGGCGCCCACCCACTGATTAAAAAGGCAAAGAACCTTGACAAGAGATGTCTCAGCTCGTACCATGGTGTTTCTCTCACTTTGTAAATTAAGGCGTAACATAACAACCTTGGTACTTCATTACCGTGATGACGTATTCAACTTGATCTGATCATTGTGCGTTTCTTGTAAGGTCTACGCTGTCTAAATACACCATGTCGCATTCTCAACCCTGAAAAAGCACATTGGAAACACATCTTCAGTCACCTCCTCTGAGTTAACAAAATGCGCTTTTGACTTTCAACCTAGAAATATATATATAGATCGATCTATCCCAAGAACTACCCACTGCCTGGCTCAAACGTACAGAAACATGACAACCGAAATCCTGCATAAGATCGGGACATCCTAAATGATCCACTCTTCCGAAATAACCTAGTTCAGCTATTTATCAAAAATCCTTCGATAATCACAGTCGATCCAGAGTACGCCTACATGGACACGGACACTCTTATGTTTATTGAAAATATTCAGATTAATTAGAATACACGACCCTGTTAATCGCCTTAATTGGATCCTCATATTGCCCCGCGACGCTACTTATAATTCGGCAACAGAACGCAGATACGACTCAGCCCAACGTCTCCCCTGACATAGCCTGCGGAAACATCCGTTTCGATTCGCTCTTCGCCGCTGGGGACGTTTTGAGCGGAGACCTCGCCAGCGGTACCCTGGGTACCAGAGGTTTTTCTCGCGTGCAACCGGGAGGTTCCTTTTGTCGGCCGCAGGCGGCATGATAAGCCTCTGGCACCCAGGGTACCCCAGCGGGCGAAGAGCGAGGAGAAACGGATGTTTTCGCAGGCTACCCCTGACAGTCTTCTTAGCCACAGATATAAAAACCCTCTCCAGTACCAAAAGAATTTAGTATACAAATAAACACACCCAGCTTTAATTCCCCTATGTATACTTTTAGTAGGAGAAGCACTGCTAAAGAAGATGCAAGTAAGATGCTTAACCCTAATCAACATAGTCAATGCACTCACTCCTCTATTATGATCTACCTTTTGTAAAATTGAAAGGCAAACCCTAAAGCAAGATTTGCGCTGGAGACGGTAGCCTGAATTAATTCAGCTGCGTACTCGATCCGCTCGCCAAGGACCGCTAAGCCGCGGACTGTGATAGGATTTATGGCTGGAGTGGTGCTGAAGATAACTGGAGCTGCATGAATTTTTTTTCGTTAGCTTCAGTTGCTGGCATGAATATTTTTTTTGTACTTCCCCCATCCCCAACCCTTATAACTTTTCAACGATCTTCTTCTGTGCCAGGCTCAGTTCCTGAAAGACGGATTAGCGCTAATCCATGAATAAAATTTTGTTCCGTTTTTGTATTTTGCCCTTCTACATGTACAGTATACATACCGAGAGATCATTCAGGCTCAACAGTATTTTGTCAAGCATCGGCTCCCGGTTTTGTTAGCTCGAGTTGCATTAATCATGGGTTAAACGTAATCATCTCCCAACGAACCGGTCCCATTCAGCCTCTTCCCTGTTAGGTGCTGCATTAGGGGGAGGGGCAAAGGAGAGGGGTGGGGGGAGCTTGTTCAAGCATGAAGTCAACCTCGTTCCTAGGGTCCTCAGAGGACACTGGGAACGAGGTTGGCAGGAAGCGGCATTATGGGAAGGGGAAGAATCGTTTTGCGTAGTATCTTCATTTACACCCTCGTGTATATTTGGTTTGTAATCTCGGCGTAGAAATCGAAATGTGAACGTAAAGACATATCGATCACTGATCCTCGAGGATGAATGAGACGACAATACTACGGAGGGAGTCTGTGCTTGAAGAAAGGACACAATTATTTTTGCGGGAAAATGACATTGAAACGGTAAGCAACAATTTAGGGGTTTACTTTTTATTTTGTTTGTTTGGTTTAGCTATTCTTGCTCTTTTTCTCTGTCGTAGTTCTATGCAAGCTCTACAAACAAGCCTGTCTTTCTTTGTTTTACGTCGCCAAGTTTGGCAAGTTTTTATGTATCAATAAATTTTTACAGGCGGGGTACTCTGGATTTCAAGTGACAGGGATGATCGAATGGGGGCAAAAACAAAACCCAAAAAAATCCCTGAACCAAAATTTAGCCTCCAAAAAATCCCATGCGAAATTTCCAAGCCATAAAAATTTCTAGAAAGCATTAAATGATATACCTAGTGGCTTTTCGTATGGGGCCCGTGCATCGCAAAGTATTTGCCATTCACACGGGATTCTTAACCATTAGGGTTAAGCACTGACAATACTGATTAGGGTTAAATCATGCTATTATTTGCTTATACTATACTACCCACAAAGGTTTGTAATTTTCACATGTAGGTATTTCAAATCAAGCTGAAATGTCACTACTCTAAGCCAATCAAATTGTAGAAATTTCTCATGTAGTAGTATAAGGATTAAAATCACAAATATTTTAATCAGCAGCAAATTCCCTGTTACATAGTGGTTAGAACTATGAACTGTAGATTCGACGCCCCGGGATTGATTCTCAATCTAGCCACACTCTTTTTATGTTCTTTAAAATTTGCCACTGAATTTTTTTTTCCTTAAAAAATTGAACAGTGGTTGAAGAGACTTACACTTTCATGGAAATTTGTCAGTGACCAGAAATTTCGAGAAGAGACTTAATCCCATATGAGTAGCAAATTCACGTCGGTGTACGGGTCCCATACGAATAGCTACTGTGAATGCATATAAAATGAGAAATAGAAACATTAGTTTTGAATACCCCCAAAGTCCCTACTAAAATCAAGCTACCCCAAAAAAGTGCCTGCCAAAATTAACCTACCCAAAACAATCCCGAAATCAAAAATTTCAAACCCCAAAAAATCCCCTGGGTTTCCATGTTTCCAAGAATTGCCGAAAAATTTTATCAGCACCCTACTAACGATGACAGGTTTTTGAAAAGGGGGCGGGGGTCAGATTTTTTGTTTAACAAAGCCAACAAAATCTGGACCCTTGACAAATAATTATGTTGCCTGTCAGGACAGTTAAATCCTCCTTTAGGCTTTACAAAGCATAAGATCAGTGAAAGAAAGACCAGGTGTAAAGAAGAATCAAGGCCAATGCTTGCATGAACCATCTGTTGAGCCATTGTCTCTTGAAAACTGATTACAAAATATTAATCATTGTATAGCTTTGTAAACAATTGCGGCACTGAGACACAATGTCTCTTGAGCAGTGACATATGAATACCCTATTTTGCTAATGTGTGGTTCCAGAAATTAAAATATCTATACCCCCTTCATGGAAGACTTTTTGATTTGCATCCCCCACCCCCAGGATTTTCTGTTCCAGGGGGTTTTGGTACTTAAAAACAAAGAAAGTGAATACTAACTTAGTTACGAAAGTACGGTAGAATTTTATGACAACAGTGCAGTGTAAACATTTGGTAAGCTTACTATTCAGCCAAACTTTTAGCTTCTTCACCATCACGTTTGCAAATTATGTCTGTGTTGTTTTTATGTAAGCTTATAAGCTTGGGTTGCAAAGCTGAGGTGTCGATTGTTCTACATTTTTGTGCTTACTCTGACATAAACATATGAAGAGAACTTATGTTTCACCTGCTTAAACAACTTTGCAAACAACAGCAAAAAAAACCCAGAAACTTACAAGGTTTCTTTCGGGCTGTTTATTTTTGTACACATTTTGTCAGTTTCTTCAGGTTGATTATTATTTTTTAAGGACTGAAAACTTCACTAGCACTTGCCAATATGCTAGGTTTTGTGAACATCATCATGATTGCAGAAGTAATTTGACTAGCTAGGTAGCCGGGCCTTGTGTAGGTTGAGCAAGAAATGGGAACGAAAATTCTTGGTTTGCACTGTCATGCCATGAAAAATAAAAGTACAAACCATACAATACAGAAAGTCTAGAATCTGGGAAATGAAAGAAGATGAATATACAAAAAGCCTTGACAAGAATGATCAATCAGGTCTGTGCAATATTTCAAAAGTGAGATATTAGGGGAAACGTTTTACCCAAATTTATAAAGCTTCGTATGGAAACGCCATGTTGGTGTCCCTTTCAGGGACAACAATAATTATGGCCGCCAGAAACCAACAGAAACATGTGTTTTCGAGTTTTTCTACTAATGCGTGAATTCTTTGCTTGAGGAACTCATAAAGATTAAAGTGATATTTATTCTGAGACAGGGAATGTTTAGATAGCAAAATCCTTCAAAGTCAGTAATGTTTTTAACCCACATAAGAGCTTTCCTGGCCGTCAGCTAAATGCCACGTCATGCAAAAGCCTGAAAATTCACTTGTCCTCTCTCGGAAAACGAAGAACCCTTTCGAACCGAAAAATTTGTTTATATAAAGGTGTTTACGTACTGTAATACCTCATGATAAATTGAGTTTGCTGTTAGGAGTGGAGCTTAATGAAAATTCTATCTCTACAGCTCACGGGCTTCCAAACAATAAATAATCAAAAATTGTATTATCGTCAAATTTGTACACAGAGACACGAGAGAAAAAGTCTACAAAAAGAGGGCAAGTGTCATGAGGAAGTCAATGAAAGATCTTCCGTCTATTGCCAAGAAAATTGGAAAATCAATTCAAAGGTGAATAAAATCTACATCAATGAATCACTAACAAGCTACAGGAATAGATTGTTTGTTAAAATCCATGAATTCAAAAAGTCAAACAAATTCAAATTCTTATGGACAGTTAATGGGAAGATCAGCCTCAGAGAGAGCAAGACATCTACGGTTTACAAATTTACAACTCATGAAGAATTTGAAGAATTTCTAGATGGATGAGGCAAAAAAACATGGTAGTTGCTACTTTAACTCTATTTATTTATTATATTTTTATTGTTATTAGTATGTGTGACTGTCTACCCTTGAGTCCCTTGGACAACGGTGAATTTCAATCTGTGATTGGGTGTTGGTCACTCGATCCAAGCAAGTTAAAAACTGATCTGTTTGACCTAATTACCAATCCAGATAAATTTGACGAGTGTTATCCTGATCACATTCTTCCCCTACCATCATCTGACTATTATTCTGTATCTGAGATGAATAGTACCTTTGGAAAAGCTGGATCAAATGCCCTTACTCTATTCCTTTGTAACATAAGAAGCTTGCCCAAGAACCTGTGCCTTCTTCATGATATTTTATGTTGTCTTGATAGCAGGGCTAATATTATTGCAATTTCTGAAACAAGACTAAATGAGAACTCAGTTTCAAACATTGAACTCCCTCATTACTATTTCTTTCACCATGACTCACCTACTGCAGCAGGTGGACTTTGTGTCTCAAAAAATTGAAAATCAATCCCAAGGCCTGATCTTCAATTAGATGTAGAGCTTGTCAAGTCCTGCTGGGTCAAGGTTTGGTCCCTGTAATGGTAAAGCCCATGTAGTTATTGGATGTATATGTAGGCACCCATCAGCGAGTATAGATGACTTTACTAGGAAATTAGATGAACTAATAAAAAATCTCAAACAGAAAAAACTTAAAGTCTATATTTTAGGTAACATCAACATAGACTTTTTAAAATGTAATGGCCATTCACCAACCGAGGACCATTTGGGGTATCGACTTTTGTTTCAAAACAACGCACGTAGGTATGTTTTTGTGCTTCAGATCAATCGTAGATGGCTTCAAAGTTTTGTATGTGGTCCATCACCCTTTTGAAAATACTTTCCCATAACCCCACCTCCTACCCCTCAGAAATTACTGCCTTTGAAACCCCGCCCTCCACCTCAGAATTTCCAATGATCTTCCGTGGAGGTGGTATGGATATTTTCTGGAACCACACAAGTCCTTTCATCATGCATTTTTATTAATTTCCGAGAGATAATTAATCAACTCTTATTTGATTGTAATCCAATACATGTAGTATTGATTATTGTTTTCATCTATTGAACATGCTGAGGTTAATACAGTTGACTCTTTTAAGGGGGGGGGGAGGGTGGTTGTTTGAACTGACTGATACTATACTGTACATTACACCAACTGTGAGCCCCTACAAACTGTGTGACCATTTCCTCTTTTCAAAGTTTAGAAATGGCAGCATTGTGAATGCTGTTCTCTTCTGAACCTGTAACTATTGTTACTTACAATAAATTACTTTGGAATTTGCAGCTGCCTCTTTACATAACATCAAGCTCTTCTGTTGACATTTTTAAGACTAAATACATATTATTATCCTTTTAAGAAATCTGTTAATGGAATCATTTTATAAATTTATTTTAATGACTGTCAACTTTGTGGTGATGATTTTTATTATTATTATTATTATTATTGTTATTATTATTATTATTATTATTATTATTATTATTATTATTATTGTTATTATTCTAGCCTGTGATGTTTTTTACAAATAAGCATTGCAGCTGCTGTAGATTACAGAGTTTAGCACGGCTTCCACACAAAATTAAGTAAGGCATCTCGGTCATGTTGCACCTCCATGATGTTTAACTGGATAACAGAAATAGAACTGATGATTAAAAAGTTCATGAGAACCCTGGTGAAATACTCAGGTTTCCAAAAATGTTTTTGACAAAACTTGTCCCTGAGCAAGCAGCATGTAAAAATCACCTTCCCAGCATAATTAGCTGGTTGTCCCATCATTTCAATGGTAGATGAGTTTAAACATTCTTAGTATGAAAATACCTGTATTTTTATTACATTTTTCTGCAAGAGAATTGTAAGAATGGTCCAAATATTTGTAAAAAACTTTGTGTACAACACAGTCATGACTAGTAAGCATTTGTGTGTTAATTTGGGTTACTGCAACTTTAAGTTTTCCTTTTTGTCAGAAAAACAAAAACAGTTGAGTGGTGATATAAAACTAAATTTGATTTTGAGACAATTGTTATGGCTTGGTGACTCTCCCAACTTGCGGACATTATAAAGCTGCAATATGTAATCTCAACTCAAGATTCTCCTAATTGCTGGTTTAATTTAGTCTTCCATCATACTACTGTAGATTTTTAATATTCTTTTATTTTTTTTTCAGCTTAACTTTGGATTGCAAGGTGGACAAAATGTTCTAAAGAACATACATGCCCAATTAAAGGGAACTTTTTCCTTGGGCAAAACTATAAAAGTTACCATCCTGGCAAATAAGTGCACCAGAGATTCATTAAGCTTTTTCCATACAGAGCTGGCAAAGCAACTGGCCAAATTTACGCAGACAGGTGTAGAAGTCAGTTTACTTGTTCCAGAAAGTGCACAGATTTATGATTGGGAAAAAAGGAGACTAGAAGAAAATGGAGTTACCATTGTCAAAGCTAAGAAGCGACCATGCTTTCCTGACCCCATTGATTGGTTGTGTTATCCACCAGAAAAACTCAAATCAGGCATTGTAATAGGAATTGGTGCACGACTGGGTAAGATTGCACAGTACTGGAAAGAGCGATATCAGTGCAAGAGTATATATATTGATCAAGACAATGAGTGGCCGCTCAACATGTTTGAAGTTGTGGAAAGTTATAAAGATTTAGAAGATTACAGAAAGGAACTTTCCACAGCTGCTAACATTCCTGTTGCTATAGGACCCAAGACAACTGATGACCTGTCTGCTTCTCTTCGCTCAGAAGGAATAGAAGTGTTTAATCTCACTCCTGGAATCATCAGTGAATTTAGTGACTTGAATCATGCCACCAGTGATGGAAGAAACTATCGTGTCCTACTTTTAGGTGGGGAAAATCCTGACAATTTTTTTAAAGATGGGCTCAAGACGGCTGCCGATGCAGTGGCAGAGTTAAAGAACAATTCCTTTCATCTTATTTATGTTGGTGCAGGGAAAGGAACAGAGCAGCAATTTAAGGATCTTTTTCATAAGTGTGGTGTTTCTAAAAGCCAGCTTAGGATAAGGAACCTTCCAAAAACTGAAGACGAGTGGAAAAAGCTGTTCTTAGAGGTGGATCTTGCCATCATGCCATCTGGTGAGAAGGAATTTGGTTTGGAGGCACTTCTTGCCTTATCTGCTGGGCTTCCTGTGCTTGTCCATGGGGAATCAGGATTTGGTGAGGCTCTCAGGGATGTCACATTTGGAGCATCAGCCATTGTGGATTCTGATGATGCCAGAGAGTGGGCTTCAAGAATCAAAACCATCAGAGAAACAGACAGGAAGACCAGACTTAAGCAAGTAGCAATGTTGCGTTCAAACTACGATGAGAAGTACAGCTGGGAGAAGCAGCTCACACCTTTGGTTGTAAGGATGTTCATGATGGTTTCTGGTATGATTTTCATTCCTTGTAATTTTTTTACTTTGCTTTTTAATAATACATGTACGTGTACTCAGCTAAATTATGTTTACTCGATCTTTTTTGAAGTTTATTATTGTTATTAATATTAGAATAATAATTATGATATTAGAGAGATTTAGAGTCACGCTTACAGCAAATGGCAAAATAAAAATGTTCAGATAATCAAGTTACGAATTTCTGATCAAAATAGGAAAAAAAGACAGCTTAGAACAATAATTATTCTAATGTATAAAAATGGCATGAAACTGCTAGTGCTAGTGAAACTGCTACAGTAAACAACAGATAAAGGGAAAAGTTGGTCATGTGGTGCAAATTCACGTTTGCGGTAAATGATTTTTACAAAAGATTTCAAAATTATTAATAGTAGTGGAATATCTAACCTATCATTTATTCTTTTATCCTCATAAATTATACTTAGTAGCAGGGCTGTCAAAAAGTTTTTAAGTAGCAGGTTGACAATGAATAGTAGGTGGCTTTGGAACTCACACCAAAGGCACAAGTTTTTTGAGGGCCAGGGCATCTAGGGACATTTTGAAAATTAGAGTCTCAGAAATGGCATTGCCAGGGCTTTTCAAGAGGTATTTTCCACCGTGGACGCCATGTTGTTTCGTCTGATTACACACAAGACGCAAGACTGGGAACAATGCCGTCGAAATGTCCCAGGCATTCCACGATATTGTACGGTTCGAACGTTTCACAGATCTAAACCTAAATATGCAGCGTGCAAAGAAAGTAGTGTCCGATAGCCAAGGGCTAGTGGATTTTGCTATCGAGCTAGTGAATTCTGTTTTTAACTTGCCCGACGGGCAAGTGATGTTTTTTTTGAGGAATTCGATAACAGAAGAACTGGGAAATCAATTCTGCTAGTCAAAAATTTTTAGGGGCTACTTGAAATGACATCTGGGCCAGTAAATGCTAGCTTCAGCTTGCCCGAATGGCAAGCTGTGAAAGTGATTTTCTTTGCACCCTGATATGTGTTCAAAGTCATTCAAAACTGGGAAATGAATGCTTTACAATACATTTATTTGGTGGTGCTTATTTTTTGTCAGCAGTTAAGGTAGAAGAAGATGAAAGTAGCTGGCTAAAAATGGCTAACTAGCCGGCGGTTTTGGCCAGCTACCGGCCCTTATTGACAGCCCTGTAGTACTGTAGGTACTCTTAACCACCCTGTAGCTTTAGAATTAAAAGTTTTACAAACTTAGTACAACCTGTAGCTAGGTGCTTTTGCTCCCCAAAAAGGGATAACAGAATTTTGATGATGAAGGAAACCCACGTTAAGGGTTGTTCAGCTCCGCAAATATCCTCCAAATAGCAGATGTCGCCCTTCAAGTTGTCTTCTTGCCGTTCTTGCCATGTTTTTAGCTATTATTTCGCCTAGTTCTTACTCTTAAAACGAATGAAATGTCTGCCATTTTTGTTTCCACAGCCAAAACAACTCAACCTTGTCCCCAGGTCCTCTCGTTTAATGGTATATAAACTTGCAAAAACGTTGCATTTTTGACGTCATTTCCCCGCTAAACACAAAGTTCTTCCAACTTTGGTCATCAGCAACTGGTTATGGTGAATTATGCGAGTGCCTTTAACCAATCAGAATTGGGGAAATATAATTTTGAATGAATAATAATCTGGTTTAAATGATTTGGTTAGCAATTAATTTATGAATGTAAAACTTTTTTACCTTGGTCTTATGTAGAGAACACTCCTGATGACTCTCAAACCGTAGTGAAAGATGTGTCCAGCTTCCCTGTCAAGCAAACAGGTGGAAAAGACATCAAACGTAGACGAATCAGTTGCTGATCAACAGCAAGGTAATTTTTTATTACCATACACCTTTGTTCAGGAGTCCAGGAATACGATTTGGAACAGGAACTGCATCTACTTTCTCACATGTACATCTTAGGAAGTGACCCTAATGTTGTACATGTAGGTGATGATTTAGGTGCTGTAGAAGAGCAACATTTGAATCAGTTTGCTTCACCAGTTAAAAGAAAAAATAGTAATGATAATAAATAAATAAATATCAAGTGAAAAATGAAATGAAATAAAAATAAAATATTTTTAATCATATTTCGTTATTTTGATAATTTTGTAGGCCTACTAAAGTTTTACACTTGCATTTAAGTTACTGCACTACCGTTTTCAAATCTTCCTTATTTTTGAACGTTAAGTATATTAAAATTTATGCATTTTTCTCATTTTTCAGCTGAAGAAAGAAAGCCCACAGGCTTCATCTTTACTTCTTACTGGAGACATGTCAACACTCAGTGTAGTGTACATGCATTTTACAGTTATGATTATACACCATCAGCTTAATACCAGTTAGTTAAAAACTTAGTGATTGTATGTATAGACATACAGGTATCAACACTCAGTGAAGTGTACATGTACAGTGAGGCCTGTAAAACAGGCATTAATAAAATTATTTTGTGTAAGTATATATACCTTACAACAAAATAAAAACAAACCCAGGCAGCATGAAAAAAGAAAAGAGAAGTTCAGTCCCTTTAGCAGTGGACAACATTTGGCCATCAAAGAGCTGATTATGGTTTTCTTTGCAGCCTAGCATTAATCAGTCAGGGCAATCGTCCTTGACTTTATGATTAAAGTTTTTACTGAGATTATAACCCCCTTTGTTTGCAAAGCAGATCGTGCTTTAAAGATTTAAAGCCTACATATACATATTACAGGTGTGTGCTTTATTAACTTGTTTCATTTATAAATAAAACTTTTAAAACTTAAGTCGTTCTTGGTTGTTGTGCAGCTTCCTAAGTTGATGCTGTATGCAGGAGGCATTATGATATCTATACATAATGGCTATTCGTACGGGACCCGTACACTGACTTGTGTTTGCTGTTCATGCGGGATTCTGACTATATTGATTATGGTTAAGCACTGATAATACTGGTTAGGGTTTAGCTTCTTTTTAAGGTTTAGGATGTTGATATATGCATTGAAATCAATGCGATGTTTAGCATCGAATGCTCAGTGGTACAGTGTTTTAGTTAATCTTCTGAAGTCGGTACGCCCCTGTTCGAATCTCCGTCATGCTGTACTGAATTTATTTTCCTTAAAAATTGAAAAGACGTCACTTTCATGAACATGTGTTGAGTAGAAATTTCAGGAGACTTCTTAGAAATTTCAAGAATTGTCTTAATCCCGTATGAATAGCAATACAAGTATACGAGTCTGGTACAATTAGCCACTGGCCTACCTGCAAGGACGCGTCGAGGGTTCCAAACCGAAGGGTGGGGGTCTTAGCTCTGCGCATTAATGAAACTCTGTCTAAGCTAATCGTTTCCAATGGCCACATTTGGCTATTATACGTAGTCTGCAGAACCGGCGATATTTTTTCGCGTTTTACAGACGAGCGAAGGCCAGCGCGAAGCAACTGAGGAGCGCTATAGACACGAGACACTCGCGGGGGAAGCATTTTCCCTTCGCACGTGTCTGTTACTCCTCGCGCGCTAGCTTTGCGCTTGCCCCCGGGCTTCGCTCGCCTGAAAAACGGGGGAAAATAAAGCCTGTTCTGCAGGTTAATTATTTCGTTACCTTCAAAGGGTAAAATTTCAACGCGTTTATTTGTGCAAAGAACGAGAAGCTTTAGTCAAAGACCGCGCGAAAAAGGCTGTCGTTCCATTTTTGGGAACAAAACCAAATTAATCCCGCTCCTCGGTCTTTCTTTGCTCCCAAACCAAACGAAAACGCTTGCTACGCAGGCTAAAGGCCTACTATTTCCTGACATCTGCTGAACCAATGCACCATCTAAAGATTCACACGAGCGGCCTACTTCCTATCGTTATCTATATATAGGGGTCCTCCTCTCTGTGGCAACTTTTTATGTGTGGCCTTTGAGGTTTTCTACCTCCCTCTCCACTATTGAACCCTAAAAGTGTATGCGGGGGTAGCGCTAGCGACCAAATCAAAACCAACACATTCATTTCACTACCCTAACCATCCACAACAAAAGCTGATTTCCAGGTAGGGCGTAGGTAAACACGCATTACAAGCAAATAAAAGCAATATGGTGTTCACAAAAGTTACAAAATATCAGAGAAAAATAAATTACGTAAAAAAGTATACAATATAGCTAGTTTTACATTAATAGATTTAGCCAGTGCTAAAAGCCAAGCTCTCGATAATATTTATAGTTCGCTTAAACAAAATATAAAATCGTGTAATGCTAAGCGGCGAAGGCAACGAGAACGGCCGGATAAAACAACAATGGGTCTAATTAGCAAAAAAGTAACTTTGCAAATGCAGCACACTTTTTTTGTACATTTCTTTGCAGTTGTTTTGAACGACTACAACTTAAGGTGGCTCGACTGGATTTTTTGGGGTTGATACCTCCCATTTTTGAGCATTAACTACGTCGGGATGTGTAAAGATATGGAAAAAAGGTTACCACAACTGTATTATATAAAGATGAAAATTTCCTATGATCTGGGTTTTATTGCAATCAGAGTCGCCATGGCAACGTAATGACGCCATTACGTTTTTCATTTATCTTTGTGTTTCTCTGTTCCAGGAGTTTTTTGAAGAAATCGCTTTAGGGAGTATGTACCTGCTATAATTGCCTCCATTATGGCATAGTTTGAACAATTTCTATGAGAGCGTTTTCGAAATATTTTGAAATGTAGTTTTAAGAATAATAAAAACAGTGAAATAGCATGCTACCTACACAATTCGCTAATATTTTAAGAAAATGATAAGCTTTGGGAACGAGGCTTCATCTCATTGTGGTTTGATTTCATTGAAAACTGCATACGAAAAAAGAGGGGAATTGCTCTGGGCGATCGCGAGTAAGAAGAATTTTATTAACTTGCGTTTAGCTGCTTTTGATACAGTTTTTGGACGTAATTTGGTCCATGCCTAAAAATTTCTCCTTTTTCCAAAAACCGCTCGATAAATTTTTCTATAAATTCGACAATCCCGAGATCAATTGTCAAGAAATATTCCCTGCAAGTTTTAAGAACATTGAAAATAGGGAAGGCTTTTAAATAGGGCCTCAAATATANTTCACCGTTTCGGCTCTCACTGCTATCTGTGACGACAAGCCAATTATTAGCTTATTCCGGATATTTCTTCGGAAAGTAATCGAGAGTTCTTTTTGATGCAAATTTATATCTTTTGCTAGTTGTTCACGTGCATATGAAACTTGAAAACAATGCCAGTGAATAATGAGGACGCTAACTTGTAAACACAAAATCTGGGGGAAAATTGGTTATATTTGAGGCCCTATTTAAAAGCCTTCCCTATTTTCAATGTTCTTGAAACTTGCAGGGAATATTTCTTGACAATTGATCTCGGGATTGTCGAATTTATAAAAAAATTTAACGAGCGGTTTTTAGAAAAAGGCGAAATTTTTAGGCATGGACCAAATTACGTCCAAAAACTGTATCAAAAGCAGCTGAATGCAAGTTAATAAAATTCTTCTTACTCGCGATCGCCCAGAACAATTCCCCTCTTTTTTTGTATGCGGTTTTCGATGGGATCAAACCACTATGAGATGAAGCCTCGTTCCCAAAGCTTATCATTTTCTTAAAATATTCGCGAATTGTGTAGGTAGCATGCTATTTCACTGTTTTTATTATTCTTAAAACTACATTTCAAAATATTTCGAAAACGCTCTCATAGAATTTGTTCAAACTATGCCATAATGGAGGCAATTATAACAGGTACATACTCCCTAAAGCGATTTCTTCAAAAAACTCCTGGAACAGAGAAACACAAAGATAAATGAAAAACGTAATGGCGTCATTACGTTGCCATGGCGACTCCGATTGCAATAAAACCCAGATCATAAGAAATTTTCATCTTTATGTAATACAGTTGTGGTAACCTTTTTTCCATATCTTTACTCATCCCGACGTAGTTAATGCTCAAAGTTGGGAGGTATCAACCCCAAAAAATCCAGTCGAGCCACCTTAACGTAAAACTCCCTGCTGGTTACTCGTTTTTTGAAGGAAATGTCGTACGTGTTCTTGTTACCCTTTTTTTTTCACTCCCGCTCACTTTCACCTTGGTGACCGCTAGGATTTCTCATTTTCTCACCGTCGCTACAAAATTTTCATGTTGTTCTTCCTACGAAAAAAAAATGTCTCCTTTGTTTTTTTCTCCCCCTCTAGCTCTCTGTCTGCCTGTCGCCTACTTTCTCTTTTTCTCTTCCTCTATATTCCACATAGAAAACAGGGATGCAGAAACAATTTCCGCTTCCTCTTTTCGTATTTATTGACTCTTTAGTTGTCTCTGCTTCACAAGACGCGGGTGGCTATGCGATTTCCCGCAAAAATAACCTCGAGTTGCATTTCGGGGTTGCCATACCTGTTGATTGAGTTATTTTACACTGGTATGAGTGTAGTGCGTAAGGACGGCGGGCGGACGGGCGTACGGTCACGTGATTACCAAAATTTCTCGGATGGGTAGATTACCACATTTTCTTAGGTATGGGGCTACGCTCACGCGCGTTGAGCTCCACTATAATTATGTTGGTGGGAGTTTTGAAGGCTAATTAGTATAAGTTTAAAATGTACACAAATACAAATTAATGAATCAGAGCGATCCAGCAGAAGGCAAAAAGGCAAGTTTGCTTTTAAATTTGGAGAGCGATTGTGCTGTTTTTGCCTCATATGAAAGATTATTCCAGAGCAGTGCACCACTATACTTAAAGTTTTTTTTTTTCTTACCAAAGTTTTACATAGGGAGGGTTCACCCAAAGGTCCAACCTCTTATCTTTTTATATCATTCTTGACAGAAAACAAAACCCTTTTGAATATCTTGAGCCTACGTGGTAAAACAAAAAGTCCTGATTTATCCATATAAGGCGCGTCAGTTTTTGAAACATTCTGTTAAAGGCCCTTTTAAATATTTCTCATCCTTTTTTATTCTACAACCCCCAACTCTTTGATCCAGAGGCAAAAAGAGGAGTTAAGCGGAGCTTCCATTGTGGGAATGCCCCCAGGAAAACAAAACAAACGGAAATTCAGAGAAAAAAAATGATTAAAGTCTTTAACTGAAGCTTGGTGGAGGTGTTGGCGGGATGAAGGAGGGAAGAAAAATAAAAGCGGAATAAAGAAAGTAGCCACACTGATCTCGCAATGATCGTTTCCGTGGAGACTGTGGCCATTCCGCCCGACGCGCGTGACTGACTGCAACGGTGATTACCTGCATATATGGAGCACCAAAAAATCGCTCTGTCCCAGACTCCTTCAAAGTACGGTTTTCAAGATGGATGACACGAAGAAGAACCTTGCTCAGACTGTTGGCGGCTCGACAGAGGCGGCCGAGAAAGGGCCACCTCGTGGTAGGAGAGTATCACAATGGGAAGGTCCTAACGAGGAATTCCTGCAAATGCTGATGAATTTGGGGATATCGAAAAACGCAGCTGTTAAGGTACTGTGAAAATTGCTTAAGATTTGTTCACGTGTCATGTCAAGATTTGCTCCGCCGCGAGGAAAGCAATATTTTCGCCTCGATTTGGTGTTTTATTGGTTTCTATTTCCTTATGAATTGTAAAAAAGAGTCTTGCCGTACTGTTTAACTTGTAAAAACCTTTATTTGTTTGGAAAACTGACAGTATGCGTATGTCACGCGGCGAAGCCCCCCCCCCTCCCGCCTCTCGCGCGCCTCCAGGGGGGGAAACCATGTAAAAGGGCGTGGATCAATTTAGAAGTGGTTCAAGTATATTTGCCCTTTTAATAAACGATACCAATCTATTCCCTGCTAACAGAGGCTTTTTTCTCCAATGTGTAGTTCCAGAAAGTGTCCATACTCCCCCCACAGAAGGGATTGGAAATTCCTGGGGGATGGGGGGTTCTCAAAGGCCCCAAAATTTAAGTAAATGTATGAAGCTTGACTGGAATTTCCAGAGAGGTGGGGGGATCTAAGGAAAAATCCCTTTCATGGGAGAGGTATGGATAATTTTTGGAACCACACAATACAAGAGAAAAGAGGCCTGTGCTAGCAGACAAACCATTCTTTTACAGATATTAAAATAATGGCTATGGTAGTTGTTTTACCCCTAAAAATAAACCATTGGGCCACCAGCTGAATTGTCAGATGTCATACAAAATTTCATTGTTTGGTAATTTTCATGTAGATGAAAGACTTCCACAGATCAATAGAAAACTTTCAAATTAAAATTTGGTAAAATTAACAGGTTTCATGGGAATAAGGGTACAGTTTAAACTCTTGAGTGAAGAGTGGAACCTGCATTGCTGTTAATAATAAATTGTTATTGTTCTGTTTTAGTCGCAGGAGTGTTTCGCAAAATAAAATTTCAGACTTCCCATGAATTATCTCTAATCAGAAAATTATAGAGGGTAATGCACCATACTCCAAAATGATGGCAATTAAATTTTCTTAAATTCATAATTAGCTAAATTAGCTGTCTTTGCCTCTATTGCATCTGCAAAATTCAAATCAAGACATTCTGGATCCAATAATTTGTTATTAAGAAAACAATAAGTGAATTTCCCACCATTCTGGCATAGGTATACCCTGCAAGCAGAGTCTCCTTCGATCTTCCTAGATAAGTCGGGAAGAGGAAGTTGTGTCAAATTGCAAGGTTTAATGAGTAACTCAGTTTGAAAGCGAGGCCGCCTGAGGCTTGGTTACATTTGAATTTGGAGCATGCTCAATAGAAACTGAGCAGGCCACTAGCAGAGTCTCCTTCCTCTTCCTGACTTATCTAGGAAGATCGAAGGAGACTCTGGTCGCAGGGCAGCATAGGTAAAGATCTCATGTTTAATCTCGTCAAATTGGTAACAGGCAAAATTTTATGCATTCCAGGGTCTATTCATGACTGATAACACTTCTGTTGATGCTGCTGCGAGCTGGGTGCTGGACAATCAGCATCTGGAGGATTTAGATGAGCCTTTCAAGGTAGATAAATAATTACAGTCAACTCTCTCTAAGACGGACACCTTGGGGACCGGCACTAAGTGTCCATCGTAGAGAGCTGTCCATCTTATAGAGAGTCAAATAAAGGGAGTAAAGAAAGGCAGGGACCAACTCTAAGTGTCCGTTTTACAGAGGTTTCCGTCTTATAGAGGTGTCCGTTAAGGGAGAGTCAACTGTATTATAAAGAAAAAAACAATGGTCTGTTACCCTCAGCAGCAGAATATAAGGGTATGATGTGTAGTTTAGTTTCATCAAACACTGTGGTACATGCCCGGGGGGTGGGGGGGGGGGTGGTACTCCAGATTTCAAGTGACAGGTATGATCCAAGGATTATGGTTGTGGTGCAGACACGGGTGTTCTGTGAGTAGTGATGTGCGTTTATTGTTGTGTGATAGTTGTAAGAGAAACAAAATAAATAAAAAGAAACAGTGGTTTATCGCACAGGAGATAGTTGAGTGTTGGTATTTGTTTAAGTTTGGTTGTGCTGATGAGTGAGTGTGTTGTAGTGTGGGTGTAGGGGTGGTTTGGGGGGTACTCCAAATTTCAAGTGACAGGTATGATCCAAGGATTCTTTTGGGTTTCAGATTTTCGATTCCAGGATTTTTTTGGGTAGGAAAGTTTGGCAAAGTAGTTTTTTGGTGATTTGATTTAAGGTCCACATATCCCAGCCACTTTGTTCTTGTTTTCCTTTCTGGAGACTTTTAAGGCCCAAAAATTCAGAATAGGATTGTTTTGGGAGTTAATGTTTGGTCCAGGGATTTTTTTGGGTTTTGTTTGAACCACTAGGGTCTTTTTTGGATTTAGATTTTTGGCCCCCTTCAAACATCCGTGTCACTTGAAATCTGGAGTACCCCCCCCCCGCCGTAAACTCCCCAGGGGTGCATGCTGCATCGGTACAAGAGTAAAATACAAAATTGTGGGTCTTAAGCAAGAGTTGATCTGTCAATTTACCACTGTTATAAAATGAACGCCAGAGTTTTCCTCTTGTTCCGTACCCGAAATAGGGAAAGGGACTGTGGGTATATTTGTCTAATTATAAGCAGTTTATTGTCCCATATCTTCTAGTGTCTGGTTTTGTTAGGTAACTGTGGACTGTGAGTATTTTTTGTTGTGATAAATTTTTGTACTGTCAAACCCCGCTTCATGGACACCTGCTTTACATGGACACCTCATTATTACAGACAGTTTGCTTTGACCCAAATTATGGGAAAAAAACCTATCCATCGTTTTCTAAATTCAGCCCACTAAATACGGACCATTAATGCTGTCACTTTCTATGGCACTTTCGCTGTCCGTATTATCAGCGTTTGACTGTACATGTCTTGCACTTTTATTTTGATGCCTAAAGAATAAATTTATGTCTTGTCTGCAGGCAGGTAAAGATGCCCGAGCGCTGGAAGCCCATCCATTTGCACGCACTTACCCTCTGGATGAAAAGACCATGAAAAGCCCTTACAAAATGGTGTTTGTTGTCAACACAGAACTGAACATGGGTCCCGGTAAAATTGCGGCCCAGGTTGGCCATGCTGCTGTTGGTCTTTATAAGGAACTGGCCTCAAAACCACAGAAGTATGACTACATGTTATCCCAATGGGATGATTTTGGGTAAGTTGTGAGAATTTGTAGGCTGATATTAGGATGTTAAGAATTTGTTCATTTTCTTTTTCACTTTGTAAACTAGTCAGGCGCTCTCTGGGGTCATCGGTAATCTACCAACAGAGCTAGTACTGCCTTGTTTTGTTTGTTTTTTAAATTTAATTTATGTCTGTATTACTCCTTTTTCCATTTCAATCTTTTAGAGGAACAAAAATTGTGCTGAAAGGTAAAAATTCAGCCCACTTATTCGACTTAGAGGACCTAGCTCAAAAAGCTGAGATGCCGTACTATCTTGTACATGATGCTGGAAAGACACAGGTGTGAACTTTGATTTTTATTATATACTTTTTTTGCAAGTCCAGTCTAGACCAACTAAGTCCATTCCTTGGTTTCAAATTAACACTTTGCACATAACATTTTGTTTCATAAACATTTGTCACATTCATCTCTTCACGGGAAAATATGAACACATGATTGACCAGCTCCCAACGTCAGTGGCTTCATAGCTTAGTTGGTTAGAGTGTGTCTCACTGGTATCGCGAGGTCACGGGTTCAAATCCTATTGAAGTCCTGAATTTTTTTCAGGCTTCTTATGCAATTGCATAAATTGCATTCACAACTGCGAGGACCATTCTTCATTTGATTTTGACATGTATCTCTGTTTGTTCTTATGATATCACCCAAACAGAGAGCTTCCTCACAGGCAATTTTATTCTGAGCCAGTGAGGGTAGGGCTGCACTCCCTGGGGCTATTCCCTATAATGGCCTTGACTGGAAGGCTCCGCCCAGAAGAGGTATCTTTTTCAGGATCCAGTTATGTGAAAAGGTGGGGATTTCACTACCTGAAGTGTATGAAAGGGTAGGGGAATCTGTCATTTCGGTCTACAGATCGGAGAGGGCCAAAGGGGCTGGCGGATGCATTTTGTGGTATGTGAAAAGGTTGAGAAAATATTCTGTTTTTGTGATAATTAATTCATATTTTAAAGACAGTTTGCAAAGTTCTCAACTGGGTATATAAAAGGGGTACATTTTCCGTCCAAAATGGTATTTCAAAGGGTAAGAGGTTGGGGTTGGACCTCAGGACAAAGCCTTCCTATACACAAGTTTGTTGAGTACCACCCCCCTCCCCCTCCCAGTCAGGGTCGGTTGGACATTTCCAAGAAAAATCAGTTAATCAGTTCTTGTAGTTTATACAAATGTCAATTATACACATGCGTGTCTGATAAATACATCATGTATCTTTTACAATGTATTGCTTTGCTCACACACTGTATTGCATTATTGCTTAATTGCAGGTAGCATCTGGTTCATTAACAGTTATTGGTCTTTTTGGTTCCTCATCAGAAGTAGGGACTCTAACTGGGACATTGTCATTACTATAGCTTCAGGTTATTATAAGATAGTAGGATCTATAGAATAAGTAGGGACTCTAACTGGGACATTATTATTACTGTAGCTTAGGTTATTATAAGATAGTAGGATCTATATAAAGGTATCTAAGAAGGTCTCTCTTAATCCTTTTACTGGTAACAATCAGATCTATGTTCACAATATGAAACAAAGTCTATTTGCACAAAAATTCTTTCAAGAATGGCCTTGTAAGTCTTTTCTCTCAACATGTTTAACCGCAAACTCACATAATTATCGTCAACCTTTCAAGGGATGCCAAAAGTCTCATCCACAGTCAGATCAGCTGTTGGTTCAATGTTCTAAAATGAGTTAGCAAAATGCAACTAGTAAAGTATTGTACAACCTTTCTTGGGATTTGCTTAAGTATGTGCTACCTTAACCAACAACTTGTTAAGATGGCTCTCTCCTGGTCGCACAGTTTTTTCTTTTCAAAGAAAAATGATAAAATAAAACCTCCATGAACTTGCAATTGTCAGCAATTAAGACCTTCATAAAATTTATCAGTAAGTGCTCTATTGTTTAAAGTTGTTTCAGTAAAGTTTTATCAGAACAATAAAGAGTATATCCATCTCGATTTCTCATGCATTTGCAAACAGTAATCTTCAGTTAGCTTTCTATGTGTAATGGAGATTTATTTCATTGACTCAAGGTATGTTTTTCTCAATAAATTATTATAAAAATATGATTTAATTGTAGGTTCAGTAGTATGAGGATTTTAATTTTGAGCTCTGGGTAATGGCCTTATTTGAGCATGGAAAAGGGCTGTACACGTTTGTCATAATCTATCTAGAAAATGATAAATAAAATAAAATAAAAATTAATAAAAAATTAAAGACATCCTTTATTCAAGTTAAAACTGTTGTCTAAGGCCTATACTTAAGCCTATACTTACTTGGTATGATCATTTCAATTTTTAAAAAATCTTATTGAAACCGTTCATCCTTAATAATTAACAAGGGATACGTTTCAGTTTAGATGAAGTCATTACTTTTTAAAAGAAATGCTTCAATATTACACTGATATTACTTTCACGTGATTACGCCCCCCCCCCCCCCCCCCCTTTCCCCCTAAAAACGTCCACACCATTTTATTTTCTTTTCCCCCCCCCCGTTCTTTAGAAAAAAATAATATTCCTCAAAACACACACTCAAAAAAAAAAACAAAAAAAAAAAAAAACAAACAAAAAAAACAAA